ACTTTAACACTGAAACCTATGGCGTTTGCATCACATAACTCTTTTTAATTATTAAATGTGATACATTGTATAGTGATGAAATTATAAAAGCCACAGTTTTTTCCAAATAGGATTTAATAATTCATTAAAGCACTTTTTACTGCATTTCGCGCACTTTTTTCACATGTAATTCTTGTACAAACATCTTTACTTTGGTAAAACGGTTAAAAACTCTAAAGCCAAAAATTTATGAACTTAATTTTGCATAAATAAAGTAAATTAATAAGGTTGATAATATGCGATGCTTTGAATAAATAAGGTAAAATTAAAAACAAGATTGATAATTTTTTTTTAATTTACTGAACATTTTCCGGCAGTGATTTCCTAAACTATAATAACATTACAAACAATCATATTTATTTGATATATGATCATTAAATTATTAACATAAAGTGGATTAGTATTTTAATAATTAATAAATTCGGAGATAAAATTCTGAGCGTACTGAAGGAAAAAAAAAAAGATAAAATAAAAAGAAGCACTCTTTTTAAAGTTCTAATTGTGGAATTCTAATTGTGAAAGAGGCGCTACAACCAGCTTTTTCTGACAATTAAAACACGCTGCAATAGGCAACCAATGTAAATTTCTGCAGTCGTCCCTACTCCTCCGGATGTGATCAAGGTGACAGGCGGCAATGCCTCGGACAAGGGAGAAAACCCGTTTGGGTTAGTCTATTTCTTATAAGGTCCATGGAGACTACATTGTGATGTCACAAGCTTAGTCCCAATTTATGGACATCACACAGCTCCGCCTACTGAACTAATGCAGCCTATTCTGCACTTTTACCCTTTTTTTTTCCCACAGGCAATGGAAATGAAACCAGAGAACACTAAAATATGCAAGTAAATATACAATTTGCATTAAAATTTCAAAACACATACATAATTTTGCTTTTCATCAAAGCGTTGAGAAGGTTCGTTTGTGAAATGCAATCAGTTTTACATTGAAGCAGCTATCAGCGTTGAATTTAAAAACAATGTAGTTTGTATTTTGTACTTACTTTCCTTTAATTTTTTACTTAAATTATACTTTTAATTTTACAATACTTATTACTTTTACTTTTTGGCCACTAATAATTGCTGTTAATTTGTTTCATGAGAGTGACAGCAGGGCAATTCATAGAATTAGGAAAATATGTTTCCGTAGTTAGTTAGACTTATTGAAGATTTTTATGTTTACACCGAGTGTGTTTTATTAAATATGAATCTTCAGAATATAGTACAGTCAAAAGTCGTTAATTCGGACCTCAAAGCTACAAACTTTCTGCGCATGCGTCGCGTTTACGTGCGCATAAGACCTTTACGGCTGTGACTTTGCCTGTGCACATGCGCATAATACGTTTACGCATGCGCGTTTAACGTATAACGGACGGTATAAGCTGAGCTAAAATTATCTAATTCAGTTAATGTTGCAGATTGCGTTGTTCCTTAATCTTCGAATTGGATCAGGCTTATTATTTTTTGCAGACTGTTAGAGCAATTTTATAAAAGTAAGCTTGAACTTTCGATTATGTCAAACAGAATTTCCGATATATATTTACTAATATGTACAGGATCTACAAAGCAAAAGTATGTTTCGAAGTCCATTAAACAAAAAGTGGAATTGCTGCAAAAAATGGAAAAAGGCATATCCTTTGTTTCTTAACCATTCCGAAATCTGTTTATCAATTTCATGCTGCTCTGCGGCGGGGGGGGGGATCGCAGCGCGCAATGAACTGGAAGTTGATTTGTCAGCACTATCCTTATCTTCAGGGCAAATGTTTTTATTTTATTCGGCTTATAATTCCTTACTAAATGTAGTATTTCATCTCGATGTATTCCGTCTTTGATATGATTTAAATCAAATTCCTTGTCATTATAATTCGCTTCAATAGTGATCACACAGTTATTGAAAACGAAAAAATTTCGATTGACAAATTAGTCGGTTTCTTGACACAGCAATTACAGGACTTGAACAGCGGAACTTTGTAACTAACAAGAATTATGTCTGTTTAATAGAATTAAAGAGAAAGTATCACATGAAACGAAGCAACTTAAACAACTTACATTAAAAGAAATGTTTAATAAAGTAAACAAATAAATATTAAGCTTTTTCTTTTTGTAAATTTTGATACCCTTTAGATCATAATTGTTCTTTATTTCATAAATTACGGTTTCATATTTTTAATTTTGTAATTTTTGCCATCTTACCAGATTTAAACTGATGATCTATAATCTGGAATTGTCGAAGTCCCAACGAGTCCGGATTAACGACTTTTACTGTACTCTCTTTAGAATCCGTGATATGCTGGTAGCGTAATAGTTTGACGCGTAAGCATACAATCAGTGAAAAAACAAAAGTAAAGCAATTATTCCTTTATCATGGATGAGGATTATCATTTATGAGCTGGAAGAAATTTACAATGCTCTTTTAAATTATGAAAGCCGATAGTTCCAAACATTTATAAGCTAGAATAAAAGATTTTAGATTTAATTCTTCATCTCTGATGATTTGAATATTCCTCTTAATACAATAAAGTCTGTCAGCAAACTCTTTCAAAATGAAACAGCGGATATTAAACTTACTCTAGAATCCTCGAAAGAATTAATCGTTTTATTAGAATACATATAAGACTTATATCACAGCAACGTACTTCATGTTGGATGAAACAAACGAAATCCAAGCTATTTCTTTTAATAACTCCATTTATTACTTTTAACAATAGAACTAAAAATATTTAAAAAAAAAACTTATTCTAAAGCTATATTAACAATGTTGCCTTTCAAGAGTAACCTAAATCTATATTTCTTTTCACTAATGCCCGGCCTTCAGCCGACTTCGGCTTGGCCACTGCTAAGGGCAGGAGTGGTAGTTACTTTATTATGGAGGCGCCCGATACATACAAAGATAATAAATAGGTGAAGCTTTTAATCACATTAATAATGCAACACAGTAATGCATGCTGCGGAAAAGCTTACTGAAGAGGTAGATAAGGAATCAATATTTAAAGCTGCAATTAAAAGTCGACGATGGGCAAAATACATGTTAACATAGTAACATGTCTTTAGTATGCACAACAAGACGAAATTTTACAAACAATAGTAGTTTAGATATTACACAGGTATCATGAAAAGAACGTCTTCTGATATTGATAATATATAATGATAATTTTACATGAAAGAAAATAATGACACATATTCTTTCAATGAAATTTACAGATATAATTTTAAAATTCGGAGTACTTTTGACATTCTGCAATAAGTGCTTTTTGCACTTTATCGTTTAATTTTTTTTATTAAAAATATTATTAAGAACTTAATTTTTTGATGTTGTCAGCGAGATCCAAAGATAGTTTTAGAAAAAATTAATTAAGATTTATTCTGTGCATTTCACAAGAAGGACTAGCGAATCTCAGAGTGAAAATATGTTCCGAATTAGAGGTAAAAACGATAATTTCTACCCAAGTTCAGTTTGAAGTGTACAAAAATTAAATTTAAGTCTTAAAATTTAATTTATTCATCCACTAATTAAATTTTTTTATAAATTTTTAATTGTTTAAAATATGTTTTTGTTTTATTTCTTCTTTTGGATATTCCTTTTAGAACAGAACTGAAATTCTCCACTTTCATTATTTCTTCGGAGAACAGAACTTAAATTCTCCGCTGTTGTTGTAAGAAAATGGAGAACAAGATTTTACAGAGAGAAAATTTTATTTTAGTTAGTGAACATGCTTTCTGACATCAAGCAAGATTCTCAATTGAAATAGAAGAGAAACACACCAATTTAAAGTTTAAAACTAAGTGAAAAGAAACTTTCATTGGGAGATTTGAAATAAAACTTTCGATTTTGAAGGCGTTCAGGTATAGAATTTAAAAAAAAAAAAAAAAAAAAAAAAAAAAAAATCGTTAAGTTAAACCAACAAACATTTTGTATGGGAATCAAACTGCACAATAAAGCAGAAATGATCGAAGAGTTACCTGTGAAGAAAAATAATTATTAAATAAGAAATATCCGACTTACAAGAAGTTTGGGATAAGGTTCAGAGAATAGCCTTAATACAAAAATGGGGAGAAACAGCTTATTATGGTAGATCACGTTATGGTTGTCATCCGATGACGTACTTCTTCTAGGAGGACAGCGGGATACTTTTTCTAATACTAATACTAAGGGACTATCCGTAGCAGCAGATCGGGATACTATTCGGAAAATATTATTATGTTTGCTTATCAAGCAAAGAGTATTAAATTAGAAATAGCACATAATTGAATAAAATATTGATAATATATGTAAAAATAAGTGTCTTGCACCTGTAAATATTTATTTAATGCTTTATTTTCTGTTTTCATTTATTTAATGCTGTATTTTCTGTTTTCATTTGTTTTGTTATGCTTCCCTGTACTCTCTGAAATAATATTTTCACAAGCATACACATAATGTTTCAATACTTGGGTTTTCAAAGCAGAAAAAGTTATAAAATAATACACATCCAGAAATAAGTGTCAAAAGTAGCTTGTTATCTGATACATATGTAGATCATATGAGCAGGAATGTGATACATTAATACATATATAAAATCGGATCGAAAAGTAATTGCCCTGCGTTTTGGCAATAGACGCACATTACTCGACTTTTAATGCTAATTTAGCAACATAACAGAACAAAATTTCACATACCAAACAAATATAAACACATCTTAATCCCAATTTTCCCCATGTATTTTCCTTTTCTCCCTAGCACCTATTCCCCACATGATATTTATTTCCGTTGGCATAATGAAATGTCGCCCATATCCATAAAGCTGCGTTCACATTTTTCCCAAATAAACTTTGTATTAACTGAATTTAAGATTACATGTTCATAAGAAATTTAAGGAATTAATTTTGCTTAGGAAATGTAAGTAGTGTACAAGTCTTGAATGAAATGTTTAATTTCTTGCTTAGACAAAATAAACTTATTGACACACTTGACTAATAACACAATAATAAAGAATGTATTTAGGATTTATTCGTCATCCATTAAATCAAAAATAAAATTTGCAAGACCTCTACAAGCCTTCCTTTGCTTTTCTGGAGGAAAAGACTTCACTGTTTTAGATATAAACAACATTAAGTGATCGATGTTGTTGTGCTCTTGTGTCTCAAGGACAGAAGCAATGGCTTTGTCAATCACATCATTTTTTTCCACAGAAGAATCTGAAAAATAAATAAAAAATTCATTATTAAATAATAATCTCAATCTCCACTGTGTATATTTTACTGAAAATATTTTAAAATTTGTTTAACTATTTTGCTTTGTATTTGGAATATATACATGTGAATTTTAGAAGATTAGAATTTTTTTTATTATTATTTAAACATATTTTTGTAAATTAGCACATGTATATATAAATAAAAAAAAATTTTCATCATTCACATGATGTATAAAAATAACAGTTTTTAATCTACCAGAATTCCAATTCATATTAACATACTTTTATGTAAGGTAGACTCAGAAGCTACCTTACATAAATCGAAGTAAGAAATCTTCAAAATCCACTGAATCTTGCACATCTAGCTGCTCAAAATTCGTGCAGCATGATGAATTCATGCTTTGGGCACTCAAATTAGACCATGTACTAAAACAATTTCAAATTAATAATTACAGATTATGCAAAATTCAACCTTATGCTCATAAATTTTATTCAAATTCAACAGTGTATTAGTTTTATTGAAAAAAGTTTCAGAGCAAGAAATGTTTAAAATTAAAATGCTTTAATATACAAAAAACCAAAAATAATACATATGGACCTGTAAGGAAGTACAGCTTACAAACTGTGCTAATGGAATAAACCTTTTCATTACCTGAGTCAATCAATAATTAATATAATTAGTGGATTATACCTGGAGGTATACTAAAATGTATTAATAAACCAAGCAAAATTGTATAGTGATTCTCTGATAGGCTATATTTTAAATCTTAACTTACTTTGATTTTCAAAAGATTTAACTTCAAACTTTTAATAATACAGTGTTACAATGGACTGGACAACTTTTACTTTGCTCTGCAACTGAGCTTTTAATCTGATCTACTCATATCCTACAGTTCTTATTTATTTTTTATGCACTGTATTACATAAAAATAAATAAAATCTGTATAAAGCATAATACAAATATATGAAAGAATTTAAAGAAATAGTTTTATAAAGCTTAATTATTGTGTTCTACTCACATACAACATACCTTCATTATTCTTTACTGTTACCTTTTTCTCCACAATTTTTTTCATTTTTATCCCCAGCTCATTTCAATAAAAAATTGTCCAAGAAAGTATGTATGTCATCATATGATGTTTAAGATTGTTTTCAAAGTGTGTTAAAGAAGTGTTGCTTGAATAGTGCTGTTGTATGGCAAGTTGCCATTTTTTCCAATGAACTCAGCAACTTCTTTGTGCTAGTACAGAATGTACTTAATTACAGCTGAAGAAGTCTGCTCTACTCCTACCTCATTATTAATTTCCTCCAAAATACTTTACGCTTCTCACTCTTTAGTTTATTTTATTGCTTTATCTTAAGTTCCTATAATTTTGGGGGCACAAATGGTGTGTGATTTTCTAAATGATAACAACTAGCAAGTTTATTTTAAAGTCTCAAATTGCCTTTGCATATAATGCAAGGATCAGCCTGTCCGTAATGGAGTTATGGCCTGTTATCTTTCCTGTCTTCCACTATTAATAAGTTCTCCTTGGCATTCTTTTCCAGGAGACTCATGTTTATTAATGATTTCATGCTTTGAATCTAGGGACATTATCTGCTTCTTAGCATTACCCACTTTCTTAGGATCCAATGTTTATAAATCTATCTTAATGGCAAAATGATGCACAAACATGTGAGGAAAGCATTCCTGATATATGAAATATGCATCTAGTATAAGGTAACCAAGGGAATGGGATAACAAGCTTGCTTTTTGCTTTGTTTCCAGTGCTAGCTAGTTGTGGCATTGTGAACCTTTCACTTAGGCCTATATGCAGACATGTATTTTATATGCAAAACAATATAAACACAAATAATTTCAAATAAATTTGAGGGCAGGGTGAATGTTTTATCTTTTCTATAAAGTTGAAGTAAAATAAGAGTAATAATACAGTACAAAGTCCAAAATCTGGACTTGGGCGATTCTGGATTTTTCCGCATATTAGATCATAAGTTTAAATCTAGTAAGATGGCATGTAGAAAATATAAAATTAAGAATATGAAATTGTGATTTATAAAATAATGAGGTATTTATGGTATAAAGGATATAAAATTTTACAAAAAAAAAAAAAAAAAAAAAAAAAAAAAAAAAAAAAAAAAAAAAAAAAAAAAAGCTTAATATTTATTTGTTTACCTTATTAAACATTTTTTTCAATGTAAGTTGTTTAAGTTGCTTTTTTTTTGTGCTAATACTTTCTCTTTAGACAGACATAATCTCTTGTTCAGTTTCATTGTTGAAGTCCTGTAACTGCTGTGTCGAGAATTCCGACTAACTTGTCAATTGAAATTTTTTTGTTTTTAGTAATTTCCCTGTTACTTTCCTCACTAACGGTAAATGGTATTTTCTGGATCTAGACCCATACTAATTTTGCCATTCATTAATTGATTGATGATTGAGACGCATTGTCATCACAATGAAAAACTTCTTTTATATCATCTTCATTTATTACGACTTCTCCACAATTCTTTACAAAATCTGTTAATTGAAAATTTCACCTTTGTTTTGCGATATCTGAAAACCTTTAAAATTTGCGGCTATCATCATCAAATTTAGTTGTCGTTTACTATTATTTGGCTATGCATCATGAGCTTGGTGACTAACAACAAGTTCTTCCGTTAAATTAAGCCTGAATTGTATTAGTTTAGTTATTTATTATACTTATGTCTATTTCTTACACATGCTTAAGGCTTATCAGAGTTCTGAATAAATAAATTTTCCACAAGCCTTATTGAGGGTTGGCGGTAGATATCTTATCGCCTGATGCAGTCTCTGTGGGTCCTAAATTATGTGACTCGGTGCACCCATAGGAGCCCTGGTGCTAATTCTGAGTTTATGTGAATAACAAATCAGTTATTCTTAATTCAAATAGCCCTAAAGGTAAACTTTGGGTCTATGAGTCTCATCAACAAAATCTTTTTTTAGTATATGGAAAGAAATTTTTGCTAAATGTTTCCTCATCATCGCCAAGCATAGTGTCAACATAAAAGGTTAAAATATCCCTTTATTATTCAATTTCTAACATAAAAAAATTGTTTAGGCATTGCTACATGAGTCATTACTCAAGTTGCCATGTCTGGATAAACATGCCATGATGAAAGGAAAGTATAATACACATAAATAATGATTTGCCAGGTTGATGTCAGATCAGCGATGTATCTATATCGAATGTTTCTGTTTGAGATGTGTGCCAATGCATCTCAAGCGCAGCAATGAAGCCAAATTATTGATTGTACAAATTTATGCTAAATAGATTGTTTCTTCAATAAGAATGTATTTTATTTAGTGTAGAAGTGAAATTAAGAATCAGGACTCTTCACATGTTTTATTATGCATGGAGGGGTGGGGGAGTCAAATGAGGTGGGAGAGTTTTGAGGTCCAGATTTTAGATCATTCCGGACTTTGTACTGTATAATGTTTATATTTTATTCCCAACATCAAAAGGTGAAGTTTTCAAATAATATTTTTTCACGATATAAATAGGCACTCATTTCTCTCAAACTAAAACTTCTTAGTATCTTATTAAAGAATTACAGTTAAATGTTTGTCATTTGATAAAGGGTCTTATATACAAAAAAGAAAAAGTGTAAATTTGAACATTCAAATGTTCAAAATTTGATTACTTGACCTGTTCAAAGTAATCAAATTTTTAAGGTAAAAAGAAGTGCTTTAAAATTCATAGAAACACTGGAAATATGTTACATTTTAACATGAATAAATTTGATTTTAAATTTCATTCAGATGTTTCTGTATATTAATTTCAGTGATGGTATTAATTTGATAGGACACTAATACCTATTTTCAATCTGTATATTTCCCCTTAAGCATATCTAACATATTTTCAAACCATATATACTCACACGAAAGAAACTATACATATTTTTAAAGTAATAATTGCTTAAAATTATATTTTCAAATTAAAATCCTCAAAAAAAGTTCTGCTAGGTAAAATAATATTGTATGTAGTTAATCATAATGCTACGCAAGAATATTGTGGAACAGGTACATAATTTAAAAATCTTACTCTTTATCAATCAAAAATGGCTCAAGAAATGTCATTGATTGATACAGTGGCCATTCTCTTTTTCTTTTTGCACCACTGCCACTCTTCTGCTTAAGCAAACGTTTTTCTTTCCTGAAGCGATCTCGGAGCGATTTGTATCGCTCCTGGCATCTGTCAGCTGCAAGAACAAATCATAAATATAATGAGAAACTTTAATCTGTAGAAAAGTCATAGATCGTAATACCTCGTTATTTAAATTGATTAAAGAATATAAACTAAAAATGAAATAAAACATAGTATTCACTTAAGCAGTAATATGAAAGTAAATTACGATATTTTTAACTTACAAATTCTGTAAAGCATAATTAAGACACAATAACACGCCGAATAAATACTAATTCAGAAGTCAAATAACAAAAATCAGCGTTATATTTACAAAATTTTCACAGGACTAGTTTCGATGGTTTTACCGAACCACCATCCTCAGCTGCAAAACCGCAAATGAGCAAGATAGGAAATAATGATTAGATAAGATAAGAAAGCCTGGACAAGAATAAGCAAGTGGCGCCATCTGTTGGCGAAACCAGAACTAAAACATAATTTCTCTAAAGCCGAAGGCAAATTTGGATTGGAATTAGGATCGTTTAACTAGAACAGAAAGATTTTTATGAATGTGAAATGCCTCTAGAAATCCAGCAGTTCTCCAATCGAAGATGTTTTTTTGAATAATTTTGGCAGCAGCAGAAAAATTGAAAGTGTGTGATTTTCGGACCAACAATGTTGAGCAACAGAAGACTTCTGTGTTTCCTTTTTTCTAACATATGCCTCATGTTCCTTGACACGAAATTTTAAGGCTCTCTTAATTTGGCCAATGTAAATTAAACCACACTGGCAAGGAATCCTATAAATAACCCAGGAATTCATATCTGGAATGGGGTCATTGAGTATGGAACTCGAAATTTTATTGATGGGAGAATAAACAACCCTAAAGTTAAATTTTCTGCAAAATATGTGCAACTTTAAGCTAATGATTGAAAGATGGAAAAGAAGGGAATGGGAAATGACAACAGAATTTTTATAATCTCCTAAAACAAGAGTGTGCCTTTTAGTATGTTTGAGATGAGAATTTTTTAACTGCTTTGATTAATAATGTTGGGTGAAAAGCCCCCTGTCAATAGCTATTGCTTTTAAATAATTTAGTTCTTCATCAAGGGCTAGTTTGGAGGAGCAAACTTGAAGCACGGAAAAACATAGGAATAAAATGAAGCTAACTTTTGTTTAGTCGGATGACATGATTTAAAGTATGGTGGAAGGCAAACAAACTGATGAAGGTTTACGGTAAACCGTAGTAGTACTGACTGAAGTTGGATGTGTTATGTGTGTGACTATGTTGAACGAAGAGAACGGAAGAGAATTGCAAGTCTCAAGTTCAAAAGTGAATTGAATAGCAGGATCAATAGAATTCATTGTTGAAAGAACTTTAATCTTATCTTGTTCATTTGCGGTTTTGCAGCTGAGGATGGTGGTTCGGTAAAACCATCGAAACTAGTCCTGTGAAAATTTTGTAAATATCACGCTGATTTTTGTTGTTTGACTTCTGAATCAGTAAAGCATGCTTTATGAGCTTATTTAAAAGTTAATTTTAGTCAAACTGAATTAGTTATGGAAGCACTTTCGCAGAGAACCCGGTAAATGTAAACATCGGCAACTTTGGCGATAATAGTTCAAACCTGGTAACCCCGCGGATTTATCCTATTCGCTTGTTCGAAGTTTGCAACCATTCCTCTTGCGTTTACTTTGTTGAATTATCAGTGTCGTTGTTCGCATTTGCAGATTTATATTATTCTTCTCTTATTTATTATTATTTTTTCTGAATTTTTTTAACAACGAATAAATAGAAATATTTTGGTAGATAAATGCCGGTTCTCGGTTCGGGATTAAAGGAAAATACGGAGGGAGAGGTGAATGCTAATTTGTAACACGGCTGTTGACGTTGTGTTCTTAATTATTAACAGGTGTAAGCATGCAGAACTATGAGGTTTTTAACCCGTAAAATAATTTGTTTTCGTAGGCCGCAAAAATATGCATGTGCATTTTAAGTAATGCTTTTATTTTTATTATTGGTTATGGTCATCTAAAATTATGAGAATAAATCAATTTTTATGGCGTAAAATTTTAACAAGATAATTATCTTGTTAATGCTTTTCTAACAATAACCTTTCAGAGCATTGCAGGTGTGACATAAATAGATCATTAAATTGAAATAAAAAATATGATTGATTATCTAAGATGACAGGGTTGATCTTTACAATATGGTAACTGGTAGTTTGGCGACATTTTGGAGGTGATAAAGGTTACTACCTGGCACTTTGGTAATAATGTGAGCAGTACTCAGTTCCGATTACGCATATTTTGTGTGAGGGAAATGAGAGATCATGGGATATGTCATGTGATATTAATGGACGAATTACGGTTCTTTAATCGGAAAAGGGGGAAAATCGGGAAAAAATCTGGAAATCTGGAATTTTGTATTTGGCTTTATTCTGTGTTGTGTGAAACAGTGTTCGTGAATTTTGGGATCCCATGGCCGTAACTAAGTGAATTCGAAATGGGTATTTAGTGGGTATGTATGTATTAATTTAATGTATGTGTTATTTCATTTATATTTTAAGTAGTGTTTTTGAATTTAATTATATTTTAATTAAATGAGAGTTATTTTGTGAATTTTATGTTTGTAGGAATTTGGTATACGTTTTAGTTGAAGTAAACGTGCATGGAAATAATTTAAATATCTGACACTAAGTATTTGTAATGGTTGCAGTATGAATTCGTTGGTGACGTGTATAATGTAATAGATGATTTAGAGGTAAAAGTTTTTGGATATTTATTTATTTTATATGTGGAAAATGTTCATTACTTTTTGCGATCAGGTAATTTCATATATGTTCTTTTACCGAGTTTAAAGATTGAGAAAATTGTCATGTATTTTCGTGAAATTTTTCTAATTTATGAGAAAAAAAGCAGTTGTACATGGATATGGTGAAGAGTGTGCGCAATGCATTTTTGTGCAATTCTGGGATGTTTTTTTAAGTAAAAAATAAGTCGACGTGTACATGGTTTAGTGATTATTTTAATTAAATGATAGTTATTTTGTGAATTTATGTTTGTAGGAATTTGGTATACGTTTAAGTTGAAGTAAACGTGCATGGAAAATAATTTAAATATTTGATACTAAGTATTTGTAATGCTTGCGGTATGAATTCGTTGGTGATGTGTATAATGTAATAGATGATTTAGAGGTAAAAGTTTTGGATATTTTATTTATTTTATATGTGGAAATGTTCATATTTCGAAAGGGTAAATACTTTTTCGCGATCAGGTAATTTCATATATGTTCTTTTTACCGGGTTTAAAGATTGAGAAAATTGTCATGTATTTTCGTGATGAAATTTTTCTAATTTATGAGAAAAAAGCAGTGTGTACATGGATATAGTGAAGAGTGTGCGCAATGCCATTTTGTGCAATTCTGGGATGTTTTTTTAAGTAAAAAATAAGTCGGCGTGTACATGGTTATGTGTATGTGTTATTTTGAAAAACGCGTAAGGAGTATGGTATTGTGCACTTTTTCCAATTTTGCAGTGAATATTTGTCATGATTAAGCAGTTTGTTAGATAAAATTTCTAGCATAAGTGTAATTCGGCTAGTAGATTGTTGGAAGAAGTGTTCAGTAGATAAAAAGAAAAGAAACATGTCTTTACTTCGTGAAGACAAAATGGCGACGGAAAAAAAATAGAGGGTTGCTGTAGGAGAGTTGGTCGCCAAAAAAACGCCAAGTTACCATAATGTAAAGATCAACCGATGACAGAATAGTTTGATGCATCACCATGGTCATCAAAATTAGCAAACCACTGCTGATGTAAGGATTATATTGTTTTCCGTGTTAACTGGAATTTAAGACAAATTTTTTTTCGTTTATCACGTTTAACCGGGTAATTTCAGTACATTAATACTAATTTATATTTTTTATTTCCGTTATAAATGCTTATATATTGTCTTATGCTTAATATATTCTTTTCTGTGCTAACTTGAATTTAATACAAATTTATATCCGTATATCACGTTTAACCGGTTAGTTTTACATCTACATGCATATTATCTGTGAATTTTTACTACCATATGCTTAATATATTGTTTTGTCTGCTAACTTGAATTTACATGCACTAAAACTCACGTTTACAAAATAATAAATATCACGCTTACGTCTCGGCTTATCGTCCATGAACCGCGAGCTTGGCGAGTAAAAATGCAACGGCGCCAACGGGTTCTCTGCGGATGAAAACCCTTAGTTATATTTCAAGAATTAGCGTAAGTAGTTAAAATAGAAAGAATTTTAATCAGTTTAAAATGCAAAAAAATTGTATGCCACTCACCTGTATATCCAATGGCTTCAGCTATGCTGATTCACGCATTTTTCCTCATCAGGGAATTTTTGTGACGTTTATCGTAGAAGTTCATTCGTCGCTAGAGAAAAACTCCTGAATCGAGAAACACACGCGTCAAGCGTCAAAAAGTTGAAGTTGAATCATTCCATTCGGCCATCCGTCAGCCGGCAAATGCCGCCTCTGAGCTCGCTTCTGATTGGTTAACGCTTTACGCGCGAACGCGTTGCCGCGTTTGTCCTAAGGATTTTATTTTGTGTTGATATCAAGAATCAAGGAAATGCGTTGAACCTTTTTATTCTTTTCAAAACTTTTTGAATGTTGACTCCTCTCTCAAATTTTATTCCTGGCCCTTTTTAGACACGAAATTTAATTTAAAGACTTTCTAAGAGTTTTCCTTTTTCTTTTCTTTTTATTTTTCTCATGCGGAAGGCATTATTTGAAAAGCTTTTATTTTTATAATTAGGCTTCAAAATTTTCCCTTATTAGATAAACCCCTCTTTTGATGTAATTATTTTATCTCTGATGTTGTGAAGTTAAGGGCCTAGCCTAGCGCACTCCGTAAATTAACTTCCTTGATCCTTAAGTTGGCGCAACCAAGGCTGTTCTCCGAACCTTATCCCGCTTTTCTTAATTTTGTTTACATTTCTGATTTAAGACCTAATTGTTGGAATTGTGCGCTCTATTTTTTTAAGGATCTATTACCTATTTATATATTTAAGACACAATAACACGCCGAACAAATGCTAATTCAGAAGTCAAACAACTGAACAGTCAAACAACAGTCAGTCAATAAAAATCAGCGTTGTATTTTCAAATTTGAAAATAGAATGCTGATTTTTGTTGTTTGACATCTGAATTACCTAGCCATATATTATTGCATTATTTGTCTTCGGTTATCTCTTCAAAGGGCAGAAAAACCAGCTGTGAGATGCAAAGGCACGGCGTCTTGTAACACCGCCATTCGTTGTTTAGCACTGAAAATTCGTTTTATGCTGAACGCGAGAAATCTGGAAGTCTAGTATTGTTTTTAGTGAAGGAAAACGTTTGCTTTTATTTGAAGCTTTAAAAATGGATTCAGCTATGGCGCAAAGAACATGGGAAATGTCTAATAATATCGAAAATGTTCAAAGTGTTGATGACATATATTGTTATGATAAAAAGACTCAACAAGATATATTAACAGCTAAACCTTGGGAAAGAGAGTAAGTTTTTTCCTAAGTTACTTATAATACTTTTCAAGTCGAAAAACATGCTGTTTTTTATTTTTGTTTTATTTTATTTTTATTTATTTAATTTTTTTTTTTGTTGTTGTTTATATTAATTAAAGATTCCATTACCAGCATTAGAATGATTAAGGAGTTTGTAAATATTTTACCGCTCTTTATGCGTTCAGATTTGGTTAATAGTAGTTATTAATGACATAATAAATTCTTCCTAGTTAATTAGACTAGTTATTTATTTAGTAAATGCTATTTCTGTTCTACAAATACAGTTGTAGTCCGTGTGCTGTCTATTGCAGTTTAATCTTTCAGGGCATATGAATAGACCAGATAATTCAACCAAGAAATATATTTTATGTTTAAAAGCTATGTGCCTTCAAATCTACCAAATTTTAAAAATTCTCGTCTATTTTTCTTCATATTTAACTTGTGTAAATTTAAGTTCTTTCTTTACAAAAGTTTTCCTTTTTATGTCTGTTTTGTGTGCGTTTGTCATATAAAAAAAGCATACTTACCTTTGATTGTTTAACATTTGGTTTAATTAAAACATTCAAATTTTGTTATCAAATTCCATATCAAATAGTGGAATGGACAATTGAATGAGAATTTTATAGTTTCTTTCATTTATATCAAATAATAATAATAATAATAATAATGGATGCAGTTTATTTCTCGCAGAAAATCTTCCACATAGGCACGTAAGAAAGTGTGAGCAGACAGCTGCAGTGTGCTTTGATGTAATAAAGTTCTCAATTAATTCATTGTATCTGATAAGAACTTAACAGCACATGTACTTGCAACAGAGTAATTTATTAATTTAAAATACCCTTAACTATTGATTAATAAGTATTTGTATATTACATACATTGCACATTTATATCAAGGTTTTAGATTTTTTATCATGAAGTCTCATTTTTGTGGTGTTCTTGTGTGTACTGGGAATTTAAATCAATTTTTCTCAAATCCTCCATGTTGGATCCTTCTCCATTAGCCAGATGGCTGCATTCTAATGTACAATAGTACACCTACATCTGCAAGCACAAATTTTTGAAAATTGATAAAAGTAATAAAAAAATGTTACCGTAATCTATTCAATTTTATAACAGCAAAAAATTTGGAGTTGATATGATGGATCAAATGGCCAGAAAATGTGCAGTAAAAGCTAGTTCTGTTAATCTTCGGATTATGGTAACTTGGTGATTTTTTGGCGACCAACCTTGTTTCAGCAACCTGCTAGTTTTTTTTTTTTTTTTTTTTTTTTTTTGGACGCCATTTCGTTTTCACGAAATAAAGGCATGTTTTTTTTTTTTTTTTTTTTTTTTAACTCAACATTTTTTTCCAACAATCTGCTAGCCGAATTCCGTTTATGCCAGAACTTTCATGGAACAAAAGTGCTTAATCATGACAAAGATTAGGTGCAAAATTGGGAGAAAGTGCAGAATCGCCCACTGCTTGCCGCGTTTTTAAGAATTGCACATACACGGTATCCATGTACACGTCAACCCATTTTCACTTAAAAAAACATCCCAGAATTGCACAAAAATGGCATTGTGCACACTCTTGACTTTATCCATGTGCACTGCTAAAGTCCTAGCTAGTAACCTTTATCACCTTACCAAAATGTTGCCAGACTACCTGTTACCATATTCTAAAGATTAGCCGCTAGTTCTTTAAGATGGCCCCTCCAAATATTTTTCAATATTTTTGATTTGGTTGCTATAAATACGTGGATCCTTTACAAAGAAACGATAGGAATACAAAAATACAACAAAAAGATTTCCTTCCATTAGCAGAACAGCTTTCAACTGAATACAGACCTGCAGGACAGAAAAAGTCGTCAAAACAAGAAGACTCGCAAAGATCAACTGCAACATCATCAAATGCAACCCTTTCTAACAAATACAAAATTTGTCAAGTACGACTGTGCCACAACAAAACAAATAATATATGTGAAAAATGTCAAAAGTATGTTTGTGAAAGATGTACAGATAAAAAGATTTCCACTTTCATTTACAAAAATGTACAAATAATAATGGATAAGTTATTTTTTTTCCAATTGAAGTAACTTTTTAATTGTTAATATTTACTAATAACTTGTTATATAACTGTAAATAATATAAAAAATTAATTTTATACAAATGTCTTTACACATTAGTTATTCTTTCACAATGCAGTCATTTTGACTGCTTTTAGGCAATATAGGTATATACTAAGTTTCAGTCTTTCTGGTGTTAAAGAGGCTATTGCAGTTTTTCATTACATCTGTTGGTCTGTCAATGAATTGCAAGATCTGGTTTTTTATTTACCTGAATTTAATTTATCTTTTTCAAATAGAGCTGTAGAAAAATTTATCTTTATTATGCATTAAATGAAAAGGAAATGCTCTAAAGAAAATTTTGATGATATAGTCTCAAAAAGCTAAGTTGGTTATGCTCTTAATGACGTAGAAATTGGCCAGTAACCTGAAAAATAACATTAAACTTCCCAAAGATGTCTTTTACATTTTGTTAAGTAATAGTTACCCAAATGTATAAAAAAGTTTTAGAAACAAATACTAGGCTTAAGGAAGGCATTTTTCAGACTGAGTACCAAATCTTAAAAAATTACACAATGACTTACCTGCCAACTTTTACGAATTTTTCGTAATTTTTACGAAATTGCGTTTGTCTTTATGATTTTACGATTGTAATCCATTTTTTATGATTTTTTTCCTTTTTCAAGTGTTTTTAGTGATTTTTGTTGAAATTTTAGAATTTTTCGCCAATTCAGCGATTTGCATAGTGTTTTACCGCCAACTACCAACTATTTCGAATCCAGTAACCTGCGGTTTCTCCCAACTAGCTGCTTAACCAGCCAATCCAATGCGCTGAACTTGTTTCTCCCACTCTTTTCTTTGTGGGCACCAGATTATTTTTTCTGCATTCACTTCAGCAGCAAGGGAATTACTCAGCGAGCGTGGATTGTCGCATTCTTTTTTTTTTTTTTTTTGCACGTACTACGAATTTTCTTAATACGTCGTTGTTACGAAATGAGTTCAAAAAACCGTATTCTCAATATTTTCGGCCTGCCTACAAAGCCGAATTTCCAACAATTAAAGAATCCTTCAAAGGAAATAATTATACATTTTGCAACGTGTGCGTCATAATAAGTCACGGTGGAAGAAGCGGCATTGTGAAGCGTGTTAAGTCTAAAAAGCATGAAGTTAATGCTTCGGCTTCGACAACGTCAAAGAAAGTGGATGGTTTTTTTTTTTTTTTTTTTTTTTTCAAATTCGGCTACGAATTCGGATGCCGATGTCATTTTGGCAGAGTGTTTATTTACTGCATTCTTCATCGAACACAATGTGCCGCTAAGCGCTGCCGATCACGCCGGTCAACTTTTCAGACGGATGTTTCCCGACTCCAAGATCGCTCAGAAATATGCCTGTGCTCGCACGAAAACATCTTCTATTGTGAACGAAATTGCTTGCGATGCACAAAGTAAAACGATAGCTGCACTCCAGAATTCAGCATTTTCGGTGTCAATCGATGGCAGGAATGACAGCGATTGGAAGCTTTACCCCATCGTTGTCACATATTTCTGTGATGTTTCTAATGAAATGAAAACTCATCTTTTGCGTCTTCCATTGTGAAATGGAGACGCTACGGGGGAATATTGCCTCCTTGATAATTAATGAGTTGAAACAACTTACATCCCAATATTTCATTTGGTGCAGATAATGCTCATGTCATGGTGGGTGACAAAAAGGGTGTAGCCTCTTTCCTCAAAAAAGAACAAAATGAATTAATTGTTATTGGATGCCCATGCCACTTAATTAATTTGGTAGCAGAAAAAGCTGCAGCTGCTTTACCATTAAATATTGACCAGCTTCTGATTGATGTGTTTTTCTATCTGGAAAAAAGGAAAGCAAACCTAAAGAATTTCCAAGAACTTTGTTCTGGTGAAACGAGAAAAATTCTGAAACATGTATGCATGAGATGGTTATCCTTAGGCAGAGTGCTAGGAAGGCTTATTGAACAGTAGGATGCATTGCTAAAATATTTCCACGAAGAGACCAAAACGAAACCACGTATCCCATCAAATTTGTCGGCATATAAGATTCTGAAAACCAACTTTGCTTCTAATCAAATGTTTTAAAAGGGAAAAGCCAACACACAGAATCAAACCATTTAAAAAGAAAATGCTTAGAAGACTCCTCAAAGGTCAACTTTGTTAAAGAAGTTGAAGGAAAGAAGAAACAATCTTCTATTAGCTGGGAGGAAAGAATTTTCTATCTTCTTTCTTCGGATTTGAACAAAGCATATTGTAGTTTTGTGTTAAGTACCATTAAGATTTTTGAAAGTGTAAATACCCTTCTACAATCAGCTTCGCCTAAATCTCCCCTGCTTATCCAAATTCTTAATGATCTTTTGAAAGAACTTTATACTAAGTTTGTAAAACCGTTCGTTGTGAAAAACAGTGTGTTGATTCGTGTTGCCTATAATAGTTTGGCAAATCAAAAGGAAGGATGACAATGATCTTGGAAATCAAACCAGGGAACTTGTAAATTCTTTGAAAGATCATGAGAAAAAAGAATTTTTTCAGTGTGTTAGAAATACTTTTCCTCAGCCTGTGATTACATTGTAAGGAAGTTTCCTTTGCAAAATGAAGTTCTTTTAAATGCTGAAGTGGCAAATTTGAAACAAACTGAAAATTCATTTTTTGAAAAGATTCGTTTTTTTATTGATAAATTTCCATTTTTGTTAACAATTAAAGAAAATGAATGACATAATGATGCTTTAGATGAACTACAGAACCAATTTTCTGATGCACAGTTTGAAGACTTTGCCAGTTCTGGAGAAGATAGACTTGATGTCCTCGTTGGTACCTTAAAAAGAATAAAAAGAGCTGATGGAACACCAAAATATGATAGACTAGCAAGAGTTTTATTTGCTATTCTCATGATTCCACACAGTAATGCTGAGTGCGAGAGAGTCTTCAGTGTTGTGAAGAAAAACAAAACTATGTTTCGTTCTTCAGTTTCACCAAAAGCGCTAGAAAACATTTTAATTGCTAAATGTTATGAGGAAACTAATTGTTATGACAGAAAAATTTTCCAAAGAGTTTTTGGCTAAAGCCAAAAAATGCACTCTAAATTCATTGCAATAATTTTTTTGTGTAACATTAAGTTCTTGATTTATGTTTCCTAATAAATTTTTTAGTTACTACTTAATTGAGATTTACTAATGTAAGTACAATTTTCTTTTTTCTATTTGTATAAATTGTTATTTTTTTAATATCAAAGCATGATATTAATTCTTCGTGTTCTTCTGAATTTTGGAGAAATCTTCTGAATTTTTATCTTTAGAGGTTGGCAGGTATGCAATGAATATGACACACATGCTATTAGTTTTTATATTAAAAAAACTGTATTTCAAACCATATTCCTCAGTGAGAGTTTTGTTTTGTACAGTCAAAAGTTGTTAATTCGGACACCTATAATCCGGACCTCAAAGCTATAAACTTTCTGCGCATGCATCGCGTTTACGAGTGCACGTAAGACCTTTACAGCTGCGAATATGTGTGTGTGCATGCGCGTTTAATGTGTAACGGACGGTATAAGCTAAGCTAAAATTATCTAATTCAGTTAATGTTGCAGATTGTGTTGTTTCTTAATCTTCGAATTGGATCCGGCTTATTATTTTTTGCAGACTGTTAGAGCAATTTTATAAAAGTGAGCTTGAACTTTTGATTATGTCAAATAAAATATCAGATATATATTTCCTAATATGTAAAGGATCTACAAAGCGAAAGTATGTTTCGAATCCGAAATCTGTTTATCAATTTCATGCTGCGGTGCACAATGAATTAGAAGTTGATCTGTCAGCACTATCCTTATCTTCAGGGCAGATGTTTTTATTTTATTTGGCTTATAATTCCTTACTAAGTGTGGTATTTCATCTCGATGTACTCCGTCTTTGATATGATCTAAATCAAGTTCCTCGTCATTATAATTCGCTTCCAATAGTGAAGTCACAGAGGTTATTGAAAACGAAAAAATTCCGATTGACAAATTAGTCGGTATTCGCAACACAGCAATTATAGGACTTGAACAGCAGAACTTTTTAATTAAACAAGAAATTATGTCTGTTTAATAGAATTAAAGAGAAAGTATTATCACGTGAAAGGAAGCAACTTGCATTGAAAGAAATGTTTAATAAAGTAAACAAATAAATATTAAGCTTTTTCTTTTTATAAATTTTGATACCCTTTAGATCATAATTGTTCTTTATTTCATAAATTACGTTTTCATATTTTTAATTTTGTAATTTCTGCATGCCATCTTACCAGATTTAAACTAATGATCTATAATCCGGAATCGACGAAGTCCAGACGAGTCCGGATTAATGACTTTTGACTGTATATAAATTTCATATTATGTAATAATATGCATTGATTTTTTTAATTATTTTTCTGTTTTGTCAATACACATAAGTTTTAATAGACAAATATAATTATTATTCATAATTTTATCTTTGTTTTAATTGTATGTTAATGATGACTGCTTTATGTTTACGATATCGTTTATGAAGTACTCATAAACAAAGTATTACTTGGTTGTTTTAATAAAAATTCAATTTAATCGGAGTTTTGTTTTATAACAAACTGGCTTGATACTAAAAAATGCGTATAGTGGTAGTGATACGAGATCCTATGGTAAAATATAGATATGAGATATGAGATCCTATGTGCCTATGGTAAAATTCCATTCTTCCTTTGTGGGAAGGAAAACAAAACGTGATACTTGTGCATTAGTGCTGCCACATTGCCAAAATTTCAATAATGTGCCAGACTCTGATAAGCATGTGCATAACCGTTAGCAGGCAACATTGTTGTTTTCATATTTGTTCTTTTTGTTCTATTCCATGTTTCAGCAGTTTTTAGACAAATTGTGATATTTTTGTCTTGATTTTTAAATATGAGCTTATGATTGCAGTGGAAGAAATTGATAAAATTATATAGGAGTAGAATATTTTGCTGCAAAATCAGTAAATAGAACATTTGCTTTTAATCTATTCTGAAAACGATCGGAAACAGTTTCCACTAGAACAAAATAAAAACCCATTTGTAAGTAAGTTTATTAATGGAGGTTTTTGAATAAATATCTAATTTAAATTTAAAATATATATGTACTAAATGACTTTTGCAATTATCCATCATCCTTCTTTCTTTCCCGTAAAAAATTGTCACAACTGCACTAAAGTGGTTATGCTAATATGTAAGTACTGCTTATTAGTGTTTGAAGATGTCTATTATGTGCTAGTATTTTTGCCAATTTTCATCTTCTAATAAATGAATATTTTTTCTACAGTCCTCATTTTTTCAAAGATATCAAAATATCAGCTCTTGCTTTACTGAAGATGGTCATGCATGCACGATCTGGTGGCACTCTGGAAGTAATGGGTATGCTTATTGGGAAAGTGGACCTGACTACAATGATTGTTATGGATTCCTTTGCTTTGCCTGTGGAAGGTACAGAAACGAGAGTTAATGCTCAGGCTCAAGCGTATGAATACATGGCTGCTTACACCGAAAGTGCTAAGCAGGTATGATTTCTTGTCAAATTAATGATTTGGTTTAACTTTTTTTAAAGACTGTGGATTGTAAGATTGCCACCTAATTAGTAATGCTGTTTCTTTTCTTTCTTTCTTTCTTTTTTTTTTTTTTTTAATATAACTGGACTTTATATAAGCTTTTGCTCATACATTCAAGAGCAGGCATTACTCTAGATAGCAGATGTTGTTCTATTAACTTCTGTTCAGAGGGAATAATGCACTGAGCTGCATAATTTGTACCAATGTCATATATTTTAATTGTTTATTTTTTAGTATGCTTGTCATATCAGTTTTAAATATTTTAAAACAAGTGTATGTTATTTTAGTGGTATGTTCATCTTATAATACTTCAGTTTTTGAAAGATGTTGAATTTCATAATTTAATTTGAGCAAACTCTAAAATATAATCAGACCTTTTTTATAGCAAACACTATAACTGAATCAGAAGTTCACAAACTTATAATTAAATCAGAAGATGTAAAAGGGATGAGAAAAGTCAAATTTTACAGGAGCAACGGCAACTATTCCATTCCTTACAAGTGTCAGAAGGCAAAAATAAAATATAATGTCTGTGTAATTAGGGCCCATGTAATTCAGTGTTTTTTTAAATGTCTTTTGTCATCCTTGTGAGGAATGGGATCGTTTTCTGTTGCTCTTGTAAAATTTAATTTTACATTTTCTGAATCAATTAACCCATAAACATTACATGCAAAATTTTTGGTACTATCCAATTTTTTAAATGTGTTATATTAATGGTATTTTCTGATTTTCTGCACCCCCACACCTCCTGAGAATTCAGCAACTCGTTGCCAAGTAATTTTTTGCAGATATAATACTTGAATTAACACCCATTTCCAAAATGGTGATGCACTAAGAATTCTATAAAACAGCAAGAAAAATCCATAATGAAGCACATATTTTTTGAAGAAATCCTTATGCAGTTTTTTTTCCACTATTCTCTGCATATATAGCTATCTGTTTTTACTTACAAAATCAAAAGTTGCAGAAATTTGTACAAATTTGTCATACCACATTTACTGAAAACTGTAAATGCTTATTGTTCGTTAAGCTAGGCAATATTTGTATTTTATAACTGTTGTTTAGGTTAGCAGTTGTCTTGAGTTCAATTTAGTCATTTTATGTTAAGAAATAGGTGGTTTCTATTCTGAATGAAGGTCGAGATGACCCATTGGCGGTGCCGACACATCTCCAGCGGAGGATGAGTTTTTGGATAAGTAGTCCTTATTCTGTTGTAGTGTTTATCCAGTTATCTTTCAGTTTGTTTCTTTTAAATTGCCGGTTGTGCCAATTTTGGCGGTACGGCTTATTTTCTTAGATTAGATTAGATACCACAATTTAACACTCTGCTTGCAATTTTTCCCATGGCATTTCTATAAAAGTTGATCATTTAAGAAATATTGTCATGAAAGCTAATGAACAAATATTATATTTCTGAAGAAATGGCAACACTTTCTTTTTCATCAGTGGGAAAACTCAGTCCCATAAAAGGGAGAAACAAACACTGATTGGAAAAATTACCTCTGCATTCAGACGGCTGCACTAAAGAAGGGCAAATTTGTTCTTTTATGGAATCAGAATAAAACAATTCGCTCACTGAAATGAATCAGTTTTTTTAAATGACTCATCACTCACTGATAACCTGAAAAAGATCCATATGCAGCAATTATCAAGGGAAACTTTTCAAGGGGAGCAAACTAACTTCTAATCAATTAACAATCTATAATAATAAAAGCAAGTGTAATGTGTCTGTCTGTCTGTCTGACCGAGCTCTCCAGCCAAATCTATCGCACGCAGGGACCTGGAATTTTTTATACGGAAGCACAAAGGGGCTGGCCACCAGACCTCGAAGCCCGATTTTCGATTTTTGAATTAGAAAAATTTTAAAAAAATTATTTATATAATTATTATCACGGTTTTTTTTTGACTCAGTGATATTATTATTTGTTTTCAAATAACGTTCGATTGTAACAATTGATTCTTTATTCTAGCGTTAGTTTGCTGTTTTGACGATACATTAAATCGATTAATTACAATTCATTTCTTTTTTGTAGCTTGTGGGGGGGGGAAGAGAGAGAGACAGTCTACATGTCCTACACTACTATTCCTGCGCTATTCACTTATCTGCATTTCCTAAATGCATGGGCAACGCCGGGCGGGTACATCTAGTAATTAATAAATGTATATATAGAATCACAAAATTTTCTTATTTAAAAACATAATTATTCCAAGCATTTCCATGCAATATGCTGCTGAAAATTGATCATTATTGACAAATCATGATTTTTTTTATTTATTTAATTCATGAAAATCCACACAACACAAAACAATTGTTGAAGCATATTCTGAACAAGATAGCTTTATTTTCCCATCCCTTAACCACTCCTCGATTTGATCGTGAACAATTCATTTGTCAGCAAAAGGAATTCTTCTCAAATGCAGAGAAACTGGAATTTCATCTTTCAGTATAAGTGTCATTTTTATATCTGCACTGCATGGCTTTTCTCACAGTTTATTCTCTTTAACAAGAGCGAAAACAGTTTTACATAATCTTTTGTCTGTAATGTGTGTTAAATCTATTTCATGCTTTTCCTAATTGGCTACAGAAATAAAAGACAAAAAATCCCTTTTGGAAGAGAGTCATTTCCTTATTGTATAATCATCACTCAATGAGTGCAGGTTCCAAATAACAAGACAAGACATGGGGGGATGCAATCCGCTATCAATTCAAAAACCATCACAGCTTATAATTCAATGTGTTTCACGCTTTTGCTTAAGAAAAATATAAATTTAGCTGTTTCTGTGTGAATCACATGACCAAAAGAGCTTTTGATTTCATTTAATCCAAAAGGTATTTTATCAGGAAAGAGCTTCCTTTGCAATTACGAGTTCACTCCCAGAATATTTCAAACATTTTCTTTTCCTGTCGTAAATTGACTGTTCTATAAATTCCAACTCCTCATTTCTCGTTGTACAATCTGATTTAATCTTTAAACCTGATACAACCTTTCTTGAGATAAATTTTCGTGCTTTTTAAAATTTTTAGGGCAGTTTCTTGCAAAAAAAAAAAAAAAAGAAAGAAAAGAAAAGAAAAAAAACCTTAACCCCACACTCATAAGCAAATAACTTCTGGTTTTTTTGATTTATGAACCTTGAATCCTTCAAATTGCACTGTGCTTTTTAAAAGTTGTTTTTAGAAAAGTTAAGCCTTTTATTTTTTAGATTTTGATTCCCGTTTTACTGACATCGCCTAAGAACTTCTAAATGAATAAAATAAATCAAACTCTCTTCCCAATTGACCAAGAATAAACCAATTTTGGCCCTCCCAAATACTAATATGTCCATTTGTTTTCCAGTCGAGCATTTCATACAAAGTCTGGAGTAGTAATCAAAAGTTGTACCAAGTCAAGTTGCAAACTGAACATGCGATTCTAATTAATATCTGTGTTCATTTTTAAAAGTTATTCAAACATTTATGTGATGTTGGCTGAAATTCCTTCAAGATTAGTGCTTTTTATTTATCATAATCTGTTATTTCTTGTTCGGAAGCAAAAGTTGAGTAAAAGCTTTTTCAAGCGATTGAAAAAACAAATGCAAAGCTTCCAATCCCTGAGGGACAGCTATAGTCAAGCTTTTAATGCTTTTAATGATATTTTCTAAACTCCAAGATGTTAATTCAATATTTGTAATCGCAGCATGATCGCCATTTTCACCAGCTAATTGTAGTTGCCGTTTTTGGAGCTTGATTCCCTTCCTGAGCTAATTTGATTTTTCATGCCCTAATTTTCACTGTTGTTCAGTCGCTATGTTCTTTTGCTCCTCTGTAACCATCTGGATAATAATTCCATGAACAAATTCAGGATATAAATATCAGTTTTATAAATATCAGCATTCTCAACAAAAGATGTAATTTCAATAACTTTCACTTCAATCATCATTGTTAAGCCTAACTTGTCTGCAATTATTTGGAAATCTTGTTTTTGAATGTTGTTTAACACACTTATGATTAAAATAATAAATTGATATAAAACAGTACTTTACCTTTTTGTCTCTTGGTCGAATTATTGGCTCTGACTCCAAATTAATCTTTATTTTTACAACTCCGTTTCATCAAATAACATCAATCCATGTTTTAAATCAAAAATAATCTTTATTTCATTTTTAGCAAATGTAAACAACTCTTTAGAACAATATCATTAGTAATCTTTTGTTGCCATGCCAAGAGCAACAAATAAATAAATAAATAAATAAAATGCTATTAATCAGTATTTAAAGTTTCTGTATAAGCTCAAGCCACAACAGTACTCCTTCCCAGTAACTAAGTTACGGTAGAGTATAATATTACCTTTGAAACACACTATTTACAAAAAATATATTATTGATACATGTAAATGCTAATCCCGAAATTGCACAGGGGTTGTCTGTCTGGTACGCGACTGTTTTACAGGAAACTTGTTAATTTTAAGAGGTAAGTCTGTTGGAGGTTTGACAGGTTGTCTCATTGACGTTGTTGGTTGCTTCGTAGTAATGTCTGCATATTTGTTTGCAAGAAATATGCAGGCTTTAATTTATCAATAGACACTGTAACATCTTTGCGATTAATTTTTACTGTAAAATATTTTTCTTTTCTGTCAACCACTTGAAAAGGATCATCGTAAGGAGGTTCTAATTGCTTTTTAACTCTGTCTTTGTGAATAAACACATGCGATGTTGTTTTCAGGTCTTTACGGACGAATATTTTTTGGACATATTTATCAGATACTGTTCTTGGTCCAATTTTTTCCATAGTTTCTTTTAGCTGCTTGACAAAAATATCAGGTGGTGTAGGAGTTGTGCTATCATGGAGAAATTCTCCAGGTAATCGTATATTTTGTCCATAAACCATTTGAGCAATGGTATATGCAGAGTCTTCTTGCATAGCTGTGCATAAGTCAAGAACAGTTGGAAGTGTTTCAGTCCAGGAAGTGTTTCCTTCATTTTATGCCAATGCTATTGTGTGCCATAAGTGCAGATCTTGAGAGATCTAGGGAGGCACTCTGCTTTCCCATTTGCTTGGGGGTGATAAGCCATTGTATGTTGTAATTTTATTCCACACATTTTTGATAGGTTGTTGAACAACTCTGAACTAAACTGCGGTCCACGATCTATGACTAGGCGACATGGCGTCCCAAATCTTGAAATCCAATTAGAATAAAATGCTTTAGCAACTGTGTCTGCTGAAATGTTGTTAAGTGGAATCACTTCCATCCAGTTAGAGTACCGGTCAATGCAAGTGAGACAGTAAATATTCCCATTTGATGGTGGTAGGGATCCAATAAGATCAATATGCATGTCACAAAATCTTTCTGAAGGCAGTTGAAAATCACTGAAACTTGATTTTGTGTGTCGATTAATTTTACTTCTTTGGCTAGCCATGCAAGATCGAGTCCAAAGCTGTACATCTTTACAAATACTTGGCCAAATAAATTTAGACGATAAGAGTTTTACAGATGACTTAATGCCAGGATGGGCTAAGTTATGCATTTGATAAAATATTTTCTTGTGATAACTGTCTGGAATATATGGTCTGATATTATTCGTTGAAGTTGGTGTATTTAATTATGGCAAAGCACACAAGGGCTATCTGTCTAAGGGGAGGGATGCCTTTCGTGGAGGACTTTCTAAGGGAAACTGGCTCGTATACACGTTACACATGGGGAAAACCATGAAAACGCCCATGCAGCCAGCCCGTTCGCGGGATTTCGAACCTCGGACCGAACTACCAGTGTTCAGCGACTTTACCGCTCGGCCGCTGGTGGGCTATTCGTTGAAGTTTCACACCACAAAGACTTCCCAGAAGGTAGCAGATACTGCTTGAAGTTCAGGGAAATTGCTGATGTCTTTAAATTTTGCAATTCTTTATCCATAATTTGTTCATCTGCAATTTTGTCATAGTCGATCAAAGAAATTTGTTCAATTCTAGGTAAAGTATCTGCACGTAAAAGGTGTTGTCTCGACCTTCTATGTGCTGTATATCAGTTGAAAAGTGAGAGACATATTGTAAATCTCTAAGTTGACGAGGTGATGCTTTTTCTGGCTTTTGTTTAAATGCAAAGATTATGGATTTATGGTCTGTGAATATTGTAAATGTTCTTCCTTCCAGCAAAAATTTAAAGTATTTGATGGAGAGGTAAATATGTAGTAACTCTCTATTGTAAGTACTGTAATGCTTTTTCTTCGTTTAGTTTTTTGGAATAAAATGCAATAGGTTTCCATCCGTTATCTTCAAATTGTTGAAGTACTGTTCCAATTGCCGAGTTCATGATTCCAGAAGGATAACAGTGTTGTATTGACTAAGTCATCTTTGCATCGCTGAAATTGTTCCTTAGCTTCATCAGTTCACTGAATTTTCTGTTTATCTTTTTTTCGAGGTCCTTTAAGGCAGGAGAGATTGTTTTTTTTTTAATGCATTTTTTAAATATCGCCGATAAAAATTAATAAGGCCTAAGAATGTTCTGAATTCTTGAATGGTTGTTGGAAGCTCGTAATTAACAATAGTTTGGACTTTGTCAGGTAAAGGTCGTGATCCTTGAGGAGTAATTAAGTAACTCAAGAATTCTATTTCTTGTGTGCCAAAGATAGATTTGGAAACATTAATGTGGAGTCCATAGGCATTAAATCTCTCAAACACAAGCTTCAAATGGATTTTGTTTTGTTCTTCACTAGCAAATGCTATCAGAATGTCATCTAAGTATGGAAAAGCGAAATTTAGACCAGAAAGAACTGTATTTATAAATCTTTGGAACGTTGCTGGTGCATTCTTCAAACCAAAACTCGTAACATTAAATTCATATAATCCAAAAGGAGTAATAATAACAGTTTTACATCTGTCTTCTTTGGCAATGGACACTTGATAGTAGACTGTAAATAAATCTATTTTAGAATAAATATTCGTACCTTTTAAAATATGATGGAAGTTTTCTATCCTAGGTATAGGATATCTATCAGGAACTGTTCTATTGTTTAGCTGTCTATAATCTCCACATGTGCGAAGAGTACCATCTTTTTTTTAGCACCACATGCAGAGGACTTGCCCATTGAGAACTCGAGGGTCTTATTATGTTATTGTCCAACATGAACTGGAACTCTTGCTTATCTACTGTAAGCTTTCGAGGATCCAACTGTCTTGCTTTAGAATGCATAGGTTGACCATGTGTTATGATGTGATATTGAACATTATGTTTTAAACCTGATAAGAATAAATTTGGTTTGCATAAGTCTGGGTATTGTTTTAGAAGAGTGTTAAATTTTGTTGACTGGGTTACTGTAACGATATCACTATTTTCACTGATGGAAGCAACGTCACCAGTTACTGAGTTGAGTTACTCCATCAATCAGTTTCTTGCCATGTAAATCAATTATTAATTTAAATTTGTTAAGGAAATCAGCTCCTAAAATTCCTTTATTAATTTTGGCTACTATAAATGGAAATTGGAATTCACGCCTAAGTCCTAAATCAAGTGTTAACATTTTTATACCATATGTTTCAATTTCGGTACCATTCACTGTGTACAACTTGAAATCCGCGGATTGTTTGTCTTGTGCTGATGCATTATCTCTGATAAATACTCGAAATTGGCTACATTCTTTAATTGGCAGTAGAGCTTGCCGCCTCTTCTACTGCGCATTGTCGTTTCCCTGATTGGATGATCTATTAGTTGACCAACTGCACGGCTTAGTTCGTTTATCTGGATGACATTTGTTATCAAAAGGGAAATGATTAAAACAATAATTTCCTTTAGGATTAAATCTTTTCCTAGAAGTACTGCGAGATCGTCTGCAGGATGGAGAGTTGTTTCTAAATCGTGGTCTCGATATATAATGAACAGTCATTTCGGCAATTCACTGTTCAAGGGATTGAATTTTCATTAACAGTTCTGTATTCAAGCAATTACCAGCTGTTGATACATCAGAAATCTCTTTAGAAGGCATCATATCAGAAATTTTATCATAGGCGTAGTAAGAGGAAGAAAATTTTATATCAATAATAATAATAATAAACAAAAGTTCGAATTGCTTTCACAAAATCGATGAAACAAAAAACACTTCAAGAACTGGAAAAAAAATTTGTTTGCTGATGAACGCAAATTTAACATCTTCAGCTCAGATGGAGAAATGCTGGTGTGAAAAAAACCCAAAGAAGAATTTCGGAAGCAAGCAAAATTTAGCATCATCAGCACAAAAACTTATATACAAAATAATTTTAAATTCTACCAGGACAATGATCCAAAGCATACTGCTCACAGTGTTAGACTGTGGGTGTAATATATGTGTCCCGAAGTAATTAAGGCATCACCCCAATCACCAGATCTTAATCCTATTGAACGTATTTGGCAGGAACTGGAATTGGAAATTTGAAAACAAAATATATCTTTGCTGCAGCAGCTGAAAGCAGTCAAGAGGGTGGCATAAAAAAAAAAACTTGTTGCAGTGCCCAAAAGATTAAAGGTAATCTCACAAGATATTAAGAAGCAAAAATAATGTAAGTTTTTGTTATTTTTTACTGTTACTAAAAGTGCAAGATTACTTTTATGAGAATACTTTTCCTCATTAAACAAATGATATTGATTTTTTAATTTAATTTTCATCATTTTGAAAATGTATTTTCTGTAAAAAATGTTGAATTTATACATAATCAAAATGAAAGCCTTTCTTATTATTTTAATTTATTTTAGTTTTTATGTTCATTGAAGAATTCAAAAATTTGAATTATCCGATCATTTTTGTGAGCCATTGTACAAATGCTGGACTAGAGATGAACTTGAAACTTAAGACCAGGAATGCATGTTATCTTACTGTTCGAACTCCTTCTCCTCTTTCTTTACTTTGAAGTTCTGCTGCAGGTGATAGCTTGGCAGTATCCTCCAGGAATGAATTAATGAATAAATAAAATTTTTAAAAAATCAGCCAAACCACCATCATAGTTAACCCACAGCAAGCAATATAAATAATTATTGAGATTACTATAAATAGTCACAGGTAACAAATCAGTTTGCTTTTAACTAATAAACTGAAATTATTAGTGAAATAATAAAGGGAGTGCATATCATAGAAATATCTGCAATACACTGGTTTTTCTGTTTTGCTTATGCTGCATAAATTGTTTATATTCTGCAATGATAATTTTGCATTTTAGGTTGGTAGATTAGAAAATGTGATTGGTTGGTATCACAGTCATCCTGGCTATGGATGTTGGCTTTCTGGAATAGATGTTAGTACTCAGATGTTGAATCAGCAGTTTCAAGAGCCATTTGTTGCCATTGTAGTAAGTGAATTTTTTTAGTACATTGTAATTCTCGATGCAATAGCATTTAGCACTTCCCTCTTATTTTACTGTATTATTCTTATAGATTGATCCTGTAAGAACAATATCTGCTGGCAAAGTGAATTTAGGTGCTTTCAGAACATATCCAAAGGTAATTTTTTTTTGAAATCTACGTACAATTAAAACTAATTGAATGATAGACAAGATGCAAAACATTTTGTTAATGAAGTCTATTTTATCCTATGATAACACCATATGGATTTTATTTTTATTTACATTTATTGTTCACTTATTTGTATCATTATTGTTTATTTATTCACTTGTTATATTACTATTATTTATTTATTCATTATCATTCGTATCACATCACTGCCGTGTATTAGAAGTGATTGGTATGGAAAACAGATATTTTTTATGTCAGTGTGTAAAATTCGATTTGTCATTAAATATAGCATGCTTTGAATAGTATTTTACTCATAAAACTATTAAATATTTAAAATAACGTAAGAATTTTTGAAGTGGATTTTTCTTTTACTAATTTTGAATTAAGAAATTCTCACATTATTCACCCAGCACCCACCACAAAATAGCCAATTGTTGGTGACTGAATTTTCATCAACCTAACACATGAAAAACAGAAGATATTTTAAAAATAGGCATCTTGCTGAAAATTACATAAAACAGCAATGAATTTAGGAAATTAAAATTAAAGAAACATCCATAATGAAAAACTGAAAATTGCATAAAACAAACATCCATAATGAAGTACTCTAAATTACATAAAACAGCAGCAAATTACCTGAATTAAAAATGCAACATCCATAATAAAACACTTAACCTTCCCCTCCCCCCCCAAGTCTTCACAGGAAAAAAGTCTAAAAGCTTTCAGATTATATATTACACCCAAAGGGGTGTTTTTTAACACTTTATATATTACCTTTATTTATTAAATATCATGTTCTTTGCACTTAAACCATAAAATTCAATTTGACAGCAATATCACAAAATGTTTAAAAGAGCAGATCTTTATATATTTTCTGATATACAGTCTCGCGTGCTGGAGATAATTTTTTTTCCTATACAGTGTTGCCATTGCTCGCTTTGAAATCATTGAGTTTCTAAATCAGAAACTTATAATTGCTTTACAAAATATGAAATAGATAATAAAACAAATTCCAAATTCGGGCTTCCAGATGCCATATTTGGGTGGAGTCATATATTATTCAAAATTTGATGGCTCTACGTACTGTTGTTTTATCACAATGCAAGAAACATACATACATACATACATACATTTATGCAGATTCAATTAAAATTCAGTTCAATAGCAGTGTCTCAAAATAATTTTAAAATAAGCATATCTTTAGAATTTCCGATTGCACAGTTCCGCGCACTGGGGATAAAAAGATTTCCCCCCTCTGTATAGTGTTACTTTTGCTCGCTTTTAAATCGTTGGTGTTTGTTACTCAAAAATTCATTAAAGTTTTATAAAATATGAAATTGGTAATAAAAAAATTTCAAATTTGGTCTTTTACTTGCCCATATTCGTAGGAAGATTTTGTCATTCAAAATTCGATGGTTCTATGTACGGTTGTTTCATAAAAATGCGAGAAATATACATACATTTATGTAGATTTTTCATTATTTAATTTCTTTAAATATAATGCAGGACTCTAGCATTTGGTGGCAAAAGTTTGAAAAATGAAACGGACTTTTATAGTGGTTCAGCGCAAAATTGTAGAATGTAAACTGTAGTCCTTCAGGAAAAGCCCCTGTGGACTTAAAAAAAAAAAAAAAAATTCAGAATTCTTGAAATTGCAGAGCAAATATTCACCACTCTCCATGTATGCATCAACCTGTTTTAAATTTTAAAAAAAGCATCAAAGAATTGCACAAATTATCTTCATGTGCATTCCTACACTTTCTACTACTAGGCAAAATGCCATATTTCTGAAAAAATGCAACATTGTTTTTCGGCAAACTCCACAGTGGCAGTACAACTTGTTACAAGAAACAAAACTCCACACCCTAATCACAACAAGCAGAAACTTTGAACCTAACCTTTAAATTTCAAAACTGCAGGAATTATCACCACAACTGAGATAGATGACTGTCAGAAGGGGGAAGGGTAGAAATCAAGTGAAATGTATACTTTGCTTTTTGAAGAAATGAGAACACAAGAACCTGACTAAAAATCAACAATTGAACTTTATTTCACTCTTAAAACTGGCCGAAACTACCGTATATACTGGCGTATAAGTCGAGATATTTTGGACAAAAAAAAGACTTCAAAGGGGGGTCGACTTATACGCGGGGCCATAAAAAATTAAACGAATCGGAAGTTCAAAAATTTCTTTATATAATGCAGTTGTTTTCTTCCCGCATGCAAATTGGACGACTTATCAAATATGTCACTTAATTGAAGTAATTTCATGACTTGAATTATGTGACGAACTAATCATAGAGAACTAGACGGCACGGAAGATGATGCTGTTTTTGAAAGTGAAAATGACGACGAAGGCTCTGGTAGTGATTGTAACAATACAGAGTTCGAGACTGAAAATATGTATGATGACAAGCCAATGACGACAGAAGAGTTCTATGAAATGTTTGGCGAATCTGACCATGAATCGGACGTTGAAGGATTTTGATTTTGTTTATTTACCAAGGTATTTTTTATCGTATATTTACTTTTTTTTCTCAGATGATTTTGAATAAATGTAGTACTTGAATTTTTTTTTTCTAAGTTTCTCAATCGATTTCAGAAGTGGGGGGTCGACTTATACACGGTTTTCTTATTTTCTACGAATTTTTTATGTCGAAGTGGGGGGGGTCGACTTATACGCGAGTATATACAGTAAATTAAAAAAAAAATTGGTAAGTGCAGATTTAATTGAGTTTGTAGTTTATATATTCTTTATAACAGATCGTCAGCCAATTCACTGCAAGCAACCATGTCATTTTGCCACTGATTAGCCTCTGATAATTTTGCATGAGGAAAGCATACAATACACATTTGCGTATTTCATTTCTATGACATGAACAAAATAATCATTCTTCTGGAATACTCTGAACACTCATATGAAACTTTTTCAAATCCAGAGTAATTACAGGTTTTGTAAATAAGTTCACGTTTAGTTTTCTGGAGATAAACTTAAGGTCAGACTCCACATCACCTGTCACTCTTCTAATAAGGTGATATCATATTTCAGTGTACTTAGTTGAATGAATTTGTTTTCTGTTGGTGTTCTAGAAAAATCTATCTAGAACAGATTTGTTATCTCAAAATAGTTTACACTCTTTCAAATCAAACTTTGAAACTTCCTTTTTTAAGACATTTTTCGTCCACAGCAACTCCTTTGCTGCTACTGGTAAGGTGATATGCTTTTCCTCCATGCTGGATAAACTTCACTTTTATGATTTCCAAATTAATAGTACTTTGTCTAAATATAATTTGAATCCATCCATGGATACCCTGCCATTCCTCTTACTTGCATAATTAGCATCTAAATAGCAACATACATTTTTTGATGAGTTTAATACTATATTGAGATAACTGAGCAATTTTTATCAATACTTCTGAATGATTAATTTCATAATTTTCCTAAGATTCTGATAAAATATTTAGTGCATGGTCCATAGGTCTAGCCCTTTTAGCTACAAAAACTAAACATCTCAATATATTTCTAAAAGATAATATACTCATTTCAGTTTTTTAGCTTGCAGACAAACTAATTTTGTAAAAATAATGCCTTTGCCTATAGCAAATGAAGTTATTGGTATCTGAAAGTGTTTAAATTTTTCAAAACTTTCTTTGATGTTTGTTTGCCGATGCATAAAAGTTCCACTGACATTTTCTAAGAATTCTGTTGAGTAGCTTTTAGTAACTTTCTAGTTCTATTTAATAAAGATAAAATAACATACTTATCTGTGAGATTGTCTTTTTATAAACACAGTTGCACTGTATTTTCTTAAAATTTAAATTTTCTGAAGTAATTTGAAATCACAAAACGACTCACGGCTGCTTTTATGTAGACTGCAAATGGCCTTGAGTAATAAACACTCTTTTAAAAGATGCTTCAAGACTGAAATTTGGTATTGAACATTAATAATAGTTTTGGAGGAATGACATTTTAAAAGACAACAGCTTTATAGTAGTAGGAATAATAATAAAAATCTTTCCATCTCATTTGGTTTGGCAGTTTTTTTCCTTTTTTTTTCGGGGGGGGGGGAGAGTTGGATGTGTTTCCAGACACTTGTTGCAGGCTTTGTAAGGGGATCAGTGTTATGGACCCTTGTTTCATTGGTTTTTACTAGTATCTTTAAGAGATTCAAATTTGTTTCAAATTTCATTTTCTTATATCTGGCTAATGTTTGTCTTCATGTTAAAATGCTCAGAGACATATCTGCAGTTTATGCAGTAAAGCAGTAAATTTTCATGTACAATGCAAAACACTGTATCCAAGATATTACATGATATCCAATGATCTTGTAGAATTGCTCAGCCAGAATCAACATTGTCCAAGAGCAGATTGTATGTCAAATGTTTTTTATTGAAATCTTGATAGTATGAAGCATTTGTCTTTGTAAACTTACTTCATTCACCTTTCAGATTATCTGGTTATCTGTGAGATACTTTTCTGTATGTGCCTGGGAGTTGCTGAGCAACATTATAGCTTAGCACTATCTGTGTGCTGAAATATTATAGCACCATCTGTGTGCATAACATTTTTAATGTTCCCATAGTGTAAAAGACAGATACCTGACCATAAAGTATAAATATCTTTTTTTCCCATCTCTTGACCAACAGATGAAATATATAGCACATACTTACTTAAGTTTCTGTAGTTTCTTTTGTTTTTAGAAATTTGGTTGAAAACATTCTTTTTGTTGTAATTTTACATTTCTTCCAGAAAAAAATTTCTCCTTTCCACTATTGTTTATCTGTCAGATATGCTGCATCTGGTCATGTAGGTTTTCAAAACTCTGATATCTAGAATTTTAATAATAAGTTCTTCTTTCAATTTAAATAACTACTATGATTTAGGTGAAGTATACTAAACATTTTTTGATGATGGTGATGAAGGTAGTGGTTATAGTTTTAGTGATCAAACTGGTAGTGATAGAAATAATTCTGAGGAAGAAAAGCACTATATTTTATATTTGGGATAGTATGGATTTGACAAGATAAAATTGCATGAAAGCATGCAATTATTTTTTGATAATAATTCTAGTTTACCTGTTGTTTTTACCTGCTGTTCTAAGTTACTTGTTGTTCAAATCAGTACACAGAAAATAAAAGTTCACGTCAGAGAAATGCTGATTCAGTGGGTGTAACTGAAATCAGAGCTGTATAAAGCTCTTATATTTCCAAAATGTTTTGCATGCTATATCTTAATCTAAAAGAACTGTAGAACTCAAAGGAATAGAAAGACTTTCAGCTTATGATGAATTTGAAAAGATTCTTGTTAGGTACTCAAAGTTTGATAATAAAAATTAACAAGTAAAAAATAAAGCATTAAATCAATTACCTATTCTAATGGACATAATTGATCAGTTTGTTAAAACTGAGTATTTATATATACTTAATGCCATCAGTGAGAGACTTTTGTCATCAAGATTTTTGTGATTGATGTGTTTTCTAATAATGCATAGCCACAAATTTTCCATTTATTCCATGTATCTCCTGGCAGTTTGCTAAATCTCCTGTTTTTTACTTTTCAGCTTTTACTAAAAAAATTACTAAGGAAAATATTTTCCTGCAAAAAATGAAATTTAAAGTATGCAGATTCCATTAGCCAACCTTAGTTATTTTTAGCATGTTTTTTTGTAATAAAGTTTAATTTGACCTGAATTATCTTTAATCTGTATATATTTGTGGAACTTTTTATAAAAATTCAAGGAGCATCTAATCAGTTAATATTTATATTTAATTTTGTTTTACATTATTCTACGGTACATTATTAAGTTTATCCACACACTTGTCTATATGTTAAGTATCAATTTTATTTTCTTAAAGTAAAAGCTTTTCTTTCCTACTCAGATTTTTCTCAGTAGAAAAGTATAAGAAAGCTATAAAATAAAATTAGTGCATAAAATTTAGAATATGTAATTCAATATTAATATATTTTGCATCAGAATCATATTATAAATAGTTCAGTTGCCTGAATTATGCATTATAAAGTGAACTTAAAGTAATGGTGCTCATAAAATGGCATCGTTGGGCATTCCTTTTATTAATATAAACAACTTTAAATTTAAAAAGTTATTCATCGCACATCATGGTTTCTATCGACAATAATAAAAAATTGCAATAATTAAACTGTATATATATATATAAAAAAAAAGTCTATATTTATGGCGTTTGCTTTGTGGTTTCACCACTGCACCGCTAGACCATTGTGTCACAATGCTCACAATCCTATAGAGGCTCTGTGGTTGTGCCTTGAAACCACTGCTCTTCACAATGGCGTTTGCTTGCTTCTCAAATACGAATTTTTGTTTTTACCCAAATATAGATAAGGGACTTTGAAACCACAGAGTTAGTTTATTACTAAACAATATATGCACTTGCCTAGTCAAAATGTCTTTCTTTTCCAGAGATTTTTCTCTGACCTCAACGCACTTGCTTCCCAAGCTAGTATTGTGATTTTATAAATTATTTGGTGTGGTTTAAATTTAATATACTTTGCTGCAATTAAAAATAGAAATCGTGTAAAAGTTTTATTTAAATTAAAAATATTTTGGGTTGAAATACGAATAAAATAAATATGGATGAAAAATGAATGATCCGTATCAAAGCCAAAAAGAAGAAGCCCCCTTCCCCATTAACATAAAAAACCACAAATTTCATATGACATATGCCAGTGAAATTTAGAAGGTCCAGGCACACGGAAGAAACCTCATAGAGCAAGATACATGTGCAATGTGAGACTATGCATGTACCAAAAAGACAAGACATGCTTTTTGTAAAATAATGTAAAAAATTTACATATAATGCAATTCTTACATACATTTTTTTAAAAAAATTCATAAATTTCATCATTTATTGGAAACGCGCATGGAAAAAGGTAAGTTTTTTCCCCCCTACTACCTCAGTAAGTTTCAATGTCCTAGACGTGTGCTGGTTTCGCAGTGCGACCACCACCCACAGAACAATGGGCAAGAGTAGATTTTTTTAAATTCATATATTTCTTATCTCTAGAATCATAATATTCAATTTCTAGAGTTTTTAGGTTAAAATTATAAAAATAATATAGCGTGCATTTAAGGGTTAAACAGTTTAGACTATTTAGAACAGGCTTAAGTTAAATTTTAATAGATTATAATTCTTTAAGAGCAAGTTTTTAATTTAAATTGGAAATTAATTTTTAATTACCAACTGTGATTTTGAATCTGGATAATTTACATTTATGTTACAGTTTCACATTTCTGCACAGAGTTTATATTAAAAGATGCATTGAAACATATAAGTATTTTAAATAGTATAAAATATAACTTAGCAATCCTCTTCTCTCCTTTTTTCAGTGACATTTTTAGCATTTTAGTAATTAAAATAGATTATGTATGTTTAATGTGTATGTTTTCATTAGACAAAATCTATGTATTTCATTCTGTTTCGCATTTTGAGTAAAAATATTTGACAGTTGTCTTAATTTATTAAAAGTTTAAAAAAAATTAATTTCAGATAAGAATTGTTCTAATCATGTGGCTTTACATAATTGCTATGTGTATTTATACCTAGTTGCTATATATATTTATAAAAAAGTACATTTTTTCTACCTACCAATGAATAATTTAACGGCAAGTTCTATAAAAGTCGCATATTATTAATGGATGACAGTTTCGCTTGTACAGTTCTGAAGAAGGTTCCAGATGTACTATTTCTGGGCATCATAGTTTTTGTTATTTAACCAACATAGCTATTTGGCTATTTTCTTAAATTCTCTATATTCTCATTAAAATATAAAACTTTACTTTTTGTTCAGCTTTTGATTATATAAATCATTTGGTTTCTTTGTTTTGGTTTGTTTGTCAGTTTCTATGGGTCACTTCCAAAATAGGTTTTTCAATATTAATTTCTGTCTCCATTTTTATTCAAATAGAATTCAAATCAATAGAACACAAAATCATTCACTTTTCAGCATTTTATACAAGTATGCTAATAGTTCCTTGATTTGTTTGTAAACTTTCAAGATAGGTTGTGAGGGAAATTTCTGCTTCCTTTTTTATAGTTATGAATGAATGGGATGTAGAATTGCTTGGTTTCCAGAAATAGATGGAAATACAGTGTCCATTTCTGGATATGCCAATTAACTTCCAAGATAATCAATGTCAAGATAAATACTGGTAAATATTTAGGTAATTAGTTATATTGTAAGGTATTTCTTTTGCCTTTTTAGCATGGCTTCGTGGTGTAGTGGTCAGCACACTCAGTGCATAATTGAGAGGTCCGCAGTTCGATTCCCGATGAAGGCGATACTGATTTTTCATCTTGCCTGCTTCCAAAAATACCTAATCTCTCTACAGTGGTGCCCGAACTAAAAGGGTGTTGGATGATGATTCTCTTCAACCAGAATTTGGTGACTGGGTCCCCTAAAAACCCCAGTCGCCATTTAAAAAGGGGAAGTATATATGGTATTTCTCCTGCCTTCGTAGTGTAGTGGTCAGCAGACTCAGTGCATTATTGAGAGGTCGGCGGTTCGATTGCTGGTGAAAGCATTGCTAATTTTTCATCTTGCTTGCTTCCAAAAATACCTAATGTCTCTACAATATTATAAGGATGTGATGGTTATGTTATTGTTAGAATCTCAATATCAGATATGGATTGTTAGAATCTTAATGGCGCCCAAACTAAAAGGGTGTTGGATGATGATTCTCTTCACCCAGGATTGGCAAAGAAATACCTCTTAATGTTAGAGTAATGTTTTTATATTTCAAGAAAATTGGAAATATTGAATTATATTTGAAATTTTTTATGATGTAAAAATAGAAGTGAAGATGGAAACTATTTAAAATCAGATGCATATTCTAAAATTAAGAGTATTCGCTTCTTTAATTATAAATTTCAGTATATCTGGCTTTTCTGCCAAAATATTTTGAACATTCATTAATGGAAAGAGATGTATATTTCATGCATCCTAAAAAAATCAGTAGAACATTGTGTTGAATTATGTAACACTCTTTTTACTTTCTTTAAAGTTTTTATTAGTTTTATTTAAATTCATATTTCTTTTTTGTACTCTTTGAAGGGTTATAAACCACCTGATGAAGGTCCTTCTGAATATCAGACAATTCCTTTGAACAAGATTGAAGATTTTGGAGTTCACTGCAAGCAGTACTACTCATTGGATGTATCTTATTTTAAATCTAAACTAGACAGGAGGTTGTTAGATTCATTATGGAACAAGTACTGGGTTAACACTCTTAGTTCATCAAGCCTTCTTACAGTAAGATTGTTTTTCCTGCCATTCTAAGTGTCTCAAGGGATTTTTACACAGAATTTTAGTATTATGAAATATATATGGTAATATATAATTGTTTATTTCCTGGTGTTTCATTTTCCTGTGGGCTTTGAAATTTACATTAAATTTTTTGTGAATGGTATTTTTAATTATGTATGATTTTTGATATAAAGTATATATTCTAAGATTGTGACATTTGATTGAAATATGGGCAGAAAGTTAATATAAACATTTTATGCTAGTAACATAAAAGCTTTTAGGAGTATACTTAATAATGGGAAGCTGTTCTATAAAAATTATGCTAATATAAACATTTCACTGCTGTGATGCATTTGTATTTGATATCAGAATGTAGCTAATTGTGGTTATTTTAGGCGGGGGGAACCTTTAGAATAATCCTAATAAAATTACTGTTTTAAATTAAAATTGTGGTCCTTCTTTTTATGTAACATTAGTGCTAAAACAAAGCAATTTTTTTTTTTTTGTATTTTTTCTTCGAAAAATCTTTATTTCTTTTGAATATTTAAATTAATATAGAACATAAGTAATAAAAGTATGTTATATTTGTCTTTAAAACAACATGGAATGTTTAGTAAGCATTTCATATCTTTTAGTATATTGGTTCACGTAAAATATTTTAGATGGAAATAAATTACAGTGCACTAAGTAGTAGCAAATTTTTAAACTTGTTCATGTACAAGTAGCCTATGAATTATGTGTATGTGTGTATATGTAAGGTAAAATAGCAATTGCTTATAGTCATGTTTTCTGGACTGCATTATTTTTAGATTAATCCATATCATATGCTTTACATAACACTGATTATGTAAAGGGAACTAAACCTTCAGATAGCCAATAGTATATTTGCTTTATTTAGAGCATTATTAATTATCCAATAAAATGTACAAAAGGTATTGACACTGAAACTAACCCACTGTGAATTAAGATTTTGTCTTGAACACTTCACTTTGCTTCTTTCTTCAGCCTAAGTAGACTGTTGCAGGGCTGCTCTCTTTATTGCTAAGACATCTTAAATGTTAATATTAGAGTTTGGAGCAGACATGATTAGTGTACCAAATTAATTGTGACTGCAAAATATTTAATTAAAATGAATTTTTAAAATTTGCCATGATTGCAAGCTTCTACTGTCTTTTGTTTCAGCATCTATTGCAGTCAACATTCCAAAAATTAGATCCATCACATTTATTAAAGTTGATAAGGTTTGAATCTGTTCCACATCTGTCAAATTTATTGACTGGATATTTAATGAAAAATCTTACTTTCTGCCAGATACCTAAGAATGAAAAAAATATGCTCAATGATCTTCTGTGATTTAATTACTGCTTCAAAATTTACTCTGAATCTTTCGACTAAACACTAACCCAGTCTGAAACTAATTCACTCTGTGTTAAGGTTTTGTCCTGAATACTTCACTTTGCTTCTTCCTTTTGACCTAGGTGCACAGTTCTCTTCTAACTCTTCTAACCACAAAGATATATAAGTGTAAAATATTACATTCTGGAACAAGCACAATTAGTATGGCAAATTATTTGTCACCACAAAGCATTTAACTAAAATGAAATGACAATTTAAAATGTGCCATGACTGAGTTTATAAGGAAGATCACTGTTGATTGATAACAGCAGGTTTATAGTATGTTACTTTCATTTTCTTGTTTAAGTTTCCATGTCTATTTTATTAAGAAAAGGCATTTTCAGGTCTAATTTTTGCCATCTTTAAAAAGTTAAAATGCCCAATAATTGCTCGATTTTATATAAATGTAAAATATTACATTCTGGAACAAGCACAATTAGTATGGCAAATTATTTGTCACCACAAAGTTTTTAAATAAAATAAAGTGACAATTTAAAGTGTGTCATGACTGAGTTTATAAGAAGCAAGTTTATAGTATGTTACTTTCATTTTCTTGTTTAAGGTTTCATGTCTATTTTATTAAGAAAAGGCATTGTCAGGTCCAATTTTGCCACTTTTAAAAATTAAAATGCCTAATAATTGCTAATTTTTTTTTTTTTTTTTTTTTTTTTTTTTGCACTGTTGTCTAAATATTTCATATATGAAGCAAAAATCCTAGGATTTTATGCACTGTTTTCTGTCACATATATTCATAGGAATGTTAGTAGCTTTTTCAATATCATTAAATTTTTTAATTAAACATGGATTCATAAATTCTGTTGTTTATTCAGTTTTAGTAAAACATTATTTTTTTTTCTTTTTATAACTGAGTTATTTTCTTTTACGCATAATTTGTTCTAGTCTAGCTGTAGCGCATCATAAGTGTTGTATATAACTTCATGTGAAAGTATAAAATACATGTGAAAGTATAAAATAAGATAATTTGTATACATTTAAAACAGGGGCACCAATCACTTTCTTTCAGAGGCTCCCAATACTCACTTTACCTGTGTTTGTAAGAGAACATGTGTAGGTTATGAGAAATTGTAAGATGATATTAAGACCCTTTTAAATCTGGGGGTCTTAGGCATAGTATTTGAAGGCCTAGGTGATAGTCAGGCCCTGTATGGAACTTTGTCAGTATCCTGATGTCATTTGAACTAAAAATTTGCAACTTACAGTAAATTCAAATACTACACTTTATTTATAGTAACAAAATAATTAAAGTTGCAAAGCTTTGAAAGTTTTGTGATTCTCCTTCCCCCCCCCCTTTACAAACATGAAAAAACATTAGTTGTCAATGGAAGATGGCATATTTTTTAACTTTGGCCTTATAAAAATGGATAACTGAGACTATCCTATCTTTTCAAATCACACTGATAAACAACTGCATTGTATAAAGTATACAACTCGAAAACATTTCGCATTAGAAGGTGCAAGGTTTTGATTGTACATGGAAAATGTACTGCGCAAGAGCAAGTTTCATTAATCAATTTGATTGGATCATTTGATTATGGCAAAGAACAAACTTTGTTAAAGATTTTCTAAAGGAAATTAGCCCAGCTTTATGTTGCTAAACCTGTGGAAAATTGTAGAAATTTCATACAACCAGTATATTCAATTACTGAAAGTACAACTCGAGCAGCAGTATGAGCATTTTGTGGCTTTAGCCATCAGTCAGGCCTTATTTATAGCCATTAGTCAAGCTTTATTTAAAGCTTAATTATATATATATATAATTAATCCTTAGTTCAGAGATTTTACTTTTTATGTTAAATATCTTTCCAAATGTTATCAACAGTTTTTGTTCTTAATATGCAATTAAATAAAAGTTTTTTTTTTTTTCTTCCTCTGTAACAGAATGCTGATTATACAACAGGACAAGTATTTGATCTGTCTGATAAACTCGAACAATCAGAAGCTCAGTTGGGACGCTGTGGTTTTGTTTTGGGCATGGATCCTCATGAAAAGAAAACTGAAGACAAATTGGCCAAAGCTACAAAAGATAGCTGTAAAATAACTATTGAAGTAATCCATGGACTTATGTCTCAGATAATTAAAGATCGCTTGTTTAATCAAGTGAACCGTAAATTTTGAGAATATTTGCATTTCCATTCCACTTAAATGTATGTTTTTTTAGCTTTATATTCAACTGAAAAATAAACTAACTAAAAAAAAAAAAAAAGATGTATGGATCGATGTGATATAGTTTATTTCTTGTATTTATATGCATTGGTAAGAAGTTTGTTTGTATGTTACATTGCATACATATGCATTAGTTGCTTATATGCAACTATACAACTGAAATTCATAATTATTGTACTTCAGAATCATATTTTAATGTTAAATGTATTTCTTTCCAGTAAATAGTTAAATATTTTTAATAGTCGTATTTGGTTTCTGTATTTTGCTTAATAAATATTACTGTATCAACAGGTAAATTTTCTTGACAGTGTTGAAATGTTGTGCAGTATTGTATTACACTATTATGGTGTAACAGTGTTTTAATTTTTCTCTTGCTTTCATTTTGTTCCTTGTGATGTACTTTGTTGAATAAAAGATATTTGTATAATGTATTTAAACATAGTTCTTCAATATTAAAAAAAAAAAAAAAATGATTAAAATAAAGTCTGTAATATCTTTCTTCTGTGAGATGCAGAAAATTTTAAGCAAGTTTTTTTGGTTTGGCAGTTTGAGCACTAAAAATTTTGTTCTGTTTATGATTTGTTTATCATTCGCCAGTGAATCTTGATGTCGAGCAGAAATAAATAATAAATCTAGGTCTTGAAGTGAAGGAAAAAGGCCATGGAAAGTAAAGCAAGGGAACTATGAAAATGCAAGATAAAAATTAATTATTTGCTTCTTCTAGCTTATGCAGAGAAAAGTTTTTGAATTGACATATCTGTGTGTTAATCATCATGTGGCCAGCAGTATTACATTCATGGTACTAATTAGCATATAATTTAATATGATTCACCAAAATATGTGATTGAAGAAAGAAAAAAAAAAAAAAAAAAAAAAAGACTTTAAAAGAAGCCTGATTAATTTTAGTTTAGAATGCTTTGAGGTGCAATACTAAATTTTTTCATTCGTCAAAAGTGCAGTGTGATTAAATCATCGTGGTTTATCCATTGTTGATTGACTGATTCAAGTGAACTTTTTTCATTTATTGACTTTTTAATAAATGATAAAAAATGCAATATAAAATATTGACATCATAGAAGTTTGCACACATGGGTATTATTGTGCATGTCATAAGTAAGTTTTAGCAGATTTCAGAGCTTTAATTATTAATGGGAAAAGCTTATGTGACTTCATCTGACCTGGTCAGGGTACTGTGGTTAGGCTAGTAATTGAATGCCTTGCTCCCTTCTTTCATCACCTGCAAGATAATCTAGGACTATTATTTATTTCTGCTTGATATCAGGGTTTTGCCAAAAATACCAAATGATTAACAAATTCCATTGAGCATATCAAAATGAATTGTGAACACATTTTTGGTGCCCAGTTTGCTCTAATGCATTAATCTTTTGAAAATTATAATGAAATGTTATTTATAAACATCAACAAGAGAATAAGCATTAATAGTAGAAATCCCCCCCCCCAATATTGGATTTATAAAAGAAGACTCAAATTTCCTTCAGTAAAGCCATGTCTTTGGTGAAGTAACAATTTGTCCTCAAAACATCAGACACTTAATTGTAGGTGGAAAAACAAAATCTTGGCTGGGGGTTAAAATAAAATATTTTTATATAACTTTTTTTTTCAAACTCATAAAATTATAAAGTACTAAAAAAAAGAAAAGGAATTTATCAAATCTAATGCGAACAAGAAATTTAATAATTCTCTTCACACAATACATCTATGATTTTATATCACTAATAATAAAAATGTTTCGCACCCTTGATAAATTTATAAAGATAATGGCTTATGCATTTGGTAATGCTGTAAATTTTTTTGATGCCCTGGCTTTCTTTATTCTTGATATAGAATTGTAGATAAATTTTATGGAGATAATTATTTAATCTCTTGTTTCCCATTAAACTATATGATAAATTATTTTTCCTTTTAATCTATTAATTATTTCATATATTTCAAATAAAAACTTCTTTATTAAAAATGCTGTCAATGTCAGTGGTATGCTGTCAATCAAATTATTCGTATGAAAAATAATTTTCCAACTATGAGTCATTGCTTTTTACTTAAAAAAATCTGTTGTGTCAGATGGTTTAAAAAGTCAGAAATTAGTTTTATCTTGTATAAATGCCTTTTAAAGATTTTGCTGCTTTATCCAATGGTGCAAACAGCATAATTCTGAGATTTTTAATTTGTTCTTTAAATGAATATTTTACCACATATTATCATGCACATTAAGTATGTATGCCAAAATTTCTGTTTCATACCTTAACAGATCGATGATAAAGTTTTGATTGCAGTGACAAACATCATGAACAGGTTAAATAAATTGAAGCATATAAAATACAGATATATATTAATATAAACTTTAGAAAATATCCCAATATATATTTTTTCACAATTTTTATCATTCTCATTTTAAAAAAGTTTGAAGAATTTATTTTATGACCTTTGAATATTTCAAACCTTTGTTGTTGATACATTTTTTAATGTCAGAATTTTAAAACACATGAAAAAATATAGTAGTACATACTGCTATAAAATTAAAAAAATCAGCTCTTAAAGTAAAATGCTGAGAAATATGTATATAAACCTATGAAATGGAAATAATTAAAAATGATGTGGCAGATTTTATTGGAAATATTTTTAACTGTAATCAACTATTATTATTTTTGAGATTAATAAAATTAAATCTATTGTACATGTAAAATATATGTGTAAAAGGGGGAGAAAAACAGCATTTATAAAATGGAATAGACTTTTATAATAAACTTAATTTCGTTGCTGCAAGTAAATTTTTATTAATGAATAAATAAATAAAATCAATTATCGAAAAATGTATATCGAAGCAAGGGTAATAACCTTGAAAGTATGTTTCCAATTGATGCTTAAGAAGAACTGATACTACTTCTTTTGCTTCATTGCATATACATTTACACATTTTTTTAATTAAAAAAAATCTCAATTAATATCTCTTCTTCATTCTAATTTTAAAAGAGAGTGAAGAAGTGAGTTTTTTTTATAACCTGTGGAAATTTCAAGACTTTTTTAATTGATAACATTTTCAGATGTTGAAAATTAATAGATGTATAAAAAGTCGAAAAAATTTAGTGAGCAATCCAACAAATGCATGAATATTTTCTTTCTGAAGTTAACCATTACTGATGATCTTCAATAAAGGTTTAAAATTGTACTGTTCACACTTGCACCCATCTTGAAAAGGGGAATTAAATAAAAAATTCTCAAAGTACTTTCATTAATAAATATCCATGACCATCTTTACTACATTTTGTTAACTCATTCAAAAAGGTAGCTTCTGTTTTTAATTATTGATTTGGTGCTACCATTCACAAGCAAATGAGGATATAGTATGTTTATGGATATTGTGGAAAAGAATAAGAAATAGCAGTTTAAGTGCAGTATGAACCAGCAAAATTCCCATTTGAAATAAGAATTTTTGTTGTTGTTTGTATGACTGTAAAAGTTAATTAAAATATTGCTACTCTCAGGAAAGTGGGTTTTTTTTTTTTTTTCCCTTTGTTTTTTGTTTTTTGTAGAAAATAAGATATCCTTGATAATGCAACTGTAAATTAAAGCATTAGATTTTAGAGTTTTTAGTTACTTAAGAACAGTATATTTTAGTAATCTTAAAATTTTATAAGATATTAAATTTCTTATATACCATTATAAATAAATTATGACAATATATTTTTCTATATACTTAAAAACAGTTTTTTATATTATCAAAATAGCAGAGTTTCATTTCAGATTAAACACCTAGCATTGTTTAAAGTACAGTTTAATGAAATGTTTATGAGACTGAAATTCCATATTGGAAATAAGCAGTACTAAAATCTTGATAGGCACTTTTTTATCTTCACTCAAAAAAGTATGTTTATGCATTGTTGTATTTAATTTCTGATAGTGCAAGATGAGAAACAACCGATGTGTAACGACACCCTATAACACAGCTTTTAAGTAGCAGATATGAACATTTTTGAAATTTTGCTTAATCTAAAAAAAGAAACACAAAAACAGGGTTCTAAAAATGTATGAAAGGCACTATTTTGCTGTCGTACGTATCAGCTTGAAATACGAGGGCTATCCAGAAAGTAGATTACGTTTTGGAATAAAAAAATAAACAAAGTATAGGAAACAAATTTTATTATATACAGATGAAAGCCACACTCAAATACTACTTTTCTACATAGTCACCATACAAATTAAGGCATTTATCGTAGCGATGTACGAGCTTGGAAATTCCTTCGTCGAAAAATTCGGCCGCCTGCGCCTTCAACCACTTCGTTACCTCTTCTTGCAGCTGTGCGTCGTCATCAAAACGCTGCATAGCCAGCCACTTCTTCATTGCTGGGAATAGGTGGAAGTCGCTCGGTGCCAGGTCGGGACTGTACGGCGGATGAGGAAACAACTCCCACTTAAAAGATTCAAGAACTTTACGAGTGACATTTGCCGTGTGGGGCCGGGCGTTTGTCGTGAATCAACAAGATCTTAGAGCTCAACATTCCTCTGCGCTTGTTTTGAATTGCTCTTCTGAGTTTTTGGAGAGTTTGGCAATACCTTTGAGAGTTTATTGTAGTGCCTCTTTCCAGGAAGTCCACCAAAATTACACCTTTTCTGTCCCAAAAAACAGTCGCCATCATCTTCCTTGCCGACATTGTTTGCATGCATTTCTTGGGTTTTTGGGGAGAACTTGTGTGCCCCCACTGCATTGATTGCAATTTCGTTTCACAGTTCACATGTTTCACCCATGTTTCGTCACCAGTAACGATGCGATCGAGTAAAGAGTCACCATCCTTATGGTAAGCGTCCAAAAAGTTCAACGCTGCAGCCATTCGCTGATTTTTGTGGTCCTCTGTCAAGATTTTTGGAATCCATCTTGCAGAAAACTTGTGGTAACCAAGCTTTTCGCTGATGATTTCGTGCAACAAACTTCGCGAAATTTGTGGAAAACTCAAAGAAAGTTCCGTTATTGTGAAATTTCGATTTTCACGGACTTTAGCATCGACTTTTTCGAGAAGTTCGGCGGTCACTATGCTGGGTCTCCCACTTCGATCTTCGTCGTGAACATTGGTTCGGCCATTTTGAAATCTTATGACCCACTGACGCACTCCACCTTCAGTGATAATGTTGTCCCCATACACTTCACGAAGCTGCCGATAGATTTCTATCGGTTTACAGTTTTTTGCAGTCAGAAACCTTATTACTGAGCGCACCTCGCAGCTCGCGGGATTTTCAATTAACGCAGACATTTCAAACCGTCACAGTATCTGAACGGAGCACAGCACGAACCTCTCACTAGCACGGCTAGATGCAGACTGAGCTGCACAACGCTCTGACCCCAAGATGGCCGCGCTAGCCCCGCCCCTAGCGGACACAGACGGAAACGTAATCTACTTCCTGGATGGCCCTCGTATCTTTGTACATTCTGAAACGAATCTGAGTTGTATTAAATTGCATGATACGGGGAACTA